CCGAACGAGTGGCGGGAAACGGCAGCGTTGCGTTTTATCTACGTCAGAGATAGGTAATGTTAGTGAGGCTAATTCGTCAAAGGCAACGCGGCCCTTTGTGCCAGCTTATGGTAATCAGCGCGGGCTGTGGGGGGGAGCTCAAGAGGCGGGGGAGGGGGCGCTTTAAATTTAATGACGAGATTTAACAACTATAAGTCTCTAAGGTAATTTGCAATGTAGCATACGATTCACGTACACATGTTCGACTCTGCTGGCCTTTATGAGTTATGTAATTAGTTTATAACGAATGCAATACTTTTATTGAAAGCATTACATTGTCGATTCCCAAGTGATCTCGTAACGCAGCTGTTACTGATGATAAAACCCAATGCTCCAATATATATGTTACATATGTTGTGTTTACATAAATTTTGTAGAGTTTTTTTTTTTTAGAATTTACTGTACTTGTGAAGACTATATTTATCGAGAAACGCCTACTATGTTAAATAAAGTAGGGAGCGTAGTGGCTGCAAAATGAAGTATTGAAACATGCTACCGTTTATCGACAAAGTTAACAAGTATTTGACGTGTAAAGGTTTCCCAATGAAAGGTTTCCAGTGAAAGTTCATCGCTAGTCTCTTGATGTTTCAATATCGATAACTACACATCGTGTGACACGCAGATACGCCGCGGGCACACCGAGGAGCCACCGCGCAGTGGTCGCGTCGTCGATACTAAATAAAAGTAATCAGGCTAAGTGCTTATTGATTTCGTCGGATCGGGTTTGATCTCTCGCGTTTATTCAATGTCGGATAACATTTTGATTTTAAATCATTTTAAATTTTGTAATGAGATTAATGTAAAACGATTGTCGATTTGTTAATGACAAATAGGGACGAAAGTTAAATGGTCTAACTCCAATATTCAAATACGTTTGATGGTTATGCCTATGTACTTTTAGACAAACTTATATAATTGATACTGTCGCTTTAAACTCAGAGCAACACTTCTCATCAGGACTCAGGATGCGCGCCAATATCCATACTTCTAGTCACATTGATAGCTGTCAGATAGGGACGTGACGTTTATGCCGATAATCTAGTGTTGCGCCAATTCTACAGCACGGTACTAATTTTGTTCTTAACAGTATCGACTTTCTTTAGAGTTCTTTTCCTAGTATTCATTTACCGATAGTGCGACAGTTTCTATGAAAATATGTTGCAACATTTATCGCAATTGTAATCGAAATCAAATAATTGCAAGTTTTCATATGCATGTACAAATTCCACCGCCATTAACTGGCAAAGGGTATGAAATTGAAAAAGAAGCTATTTCATATGGAACCATAAAAAATCGTTTTGACAACACAGAGACCGGGACGGGCTGACAGCGGCGCGCGCCAAAGCGAACGTGAACTCAATTACGAAATGAACAAACGGATATCACTAGAATTTTTGCAATAATTTGCATTTCAACCCCCTCCTCTACTTCCACGGATTCATCTATTAGCAAAGCAGAGAAACTATCTTTTCTGTGAAAATAATAACTGCTTCGTTGTCTACAAGTGTACTATGCTACAATCAGGTTCTCCAAGACTTGATTATACAAGTAAATTTTAATCATTAGTTTGAGTTTTTATGTACGTTCGAAAAGGTAATAGTGAACTTTGATTCACAAATTACAAGAAAAACATTTTTATGTGTGAAATAAGACAAAAGACAAATTGAAAATTCTCTCTCAATACAAATACGACACCGGATATTTTGTAAATTTAATTTAACATCAGAATAATCCGTAGACAACCCTAGCCGGCGCCGGAGGGCGGGCGGGCGAGGTGGTGCGACAATCGCGATGGTTTATTGTCCAAAGCGCAGGCGGTGTCCGCGCCTCAAAGGACGCCGACAAAGCGCCGCCGCGGCCGGCATTAGCGGCCCGCTTTGATGCCTCCACCCCTCCCTAGGGCTGCCTCTGACACTCGCTCACTCTTTTTAAGTGGAAATGCGAAAAAAATACATATAAGGCTTTTCAGGCAGCGCTGTAAGCGTGTTTATATTTTTCTCATACGAAACTGAAAATTTTCCCAACGAAATGTTACATCATTTTCAAGACACATGTAGGTTTCATTAGTCAACTTACTCTTTAAGAAAATTCCTTCTTTGTAATCATTTTGCGGACACATAATGGTTTTAATCCTATTTTACTTTTTAATTTTTCCGTTTATCGGGAAGATGGTGAGTTACAAAACGTCGACAGCCCTGCCCCCTGCAGCCCTAGCTCAAAGTGAGTGTGTTACTCTTTAACCTGCGCGATTCGCGACCGGCTAAACTTACCACTCCGCTAAATAAAGTTAAAAGGCTCCTCTGGCTTTGTCTCGGCTCGCCTTTGATGTGCGCCGAGAACGTGTCCCTCCTCCGCGCCCGCCGCACCTCTCCGCGCCCGCCCATACCCACCCCGCTCGGCTCTCGCAAACAGTTCACCGCAAGCTGAAACTATTGCCTTTAATGTCTTTTCCGATATACCCTCGTACGATTGATTAGTACGTTGCGTAGGTATTTTCAAGGAATCGGTCCGATCAAAGTGGCCGCGTCCTTTTGACGACGAATCTCTGAAAGTGAACAACCCTTATCGTTTTGATCTTCGGCTAAAGCATCGGTCGTCTGATTTTACCTCTGCTACAAGATGACAAAGGCAAGATTTTGCACCTTATCCACTCTAGTGTTTAATATTTGTAAGTTTACAGATTTCAATAAAAGATATCAAAGTAATTTGTTCCACAATCCTCAAAATATTATTAGGTAATTAAATTTGTAGGGTTCGTTTTTTGAACCTGATTTCGTCGTACTGTTTCGTCACTTTTTAATTTATTTTTTTAATAAACATTGTCTTTTTAAGCGTTGTTTTATATTGATTGTCGCAGCAAGGTGCTTACAAAGTAAAGGTGAGACACAAAGCTTTGTAATAGTTAATTAAATCACGAGCCAGAGACAAAGGAAGTTAGATCCAATAACGTGCACACATCCCTCCTCTCACTCTAACTCGCAACTGACGAGATTATTTTAATGTTACATTTGTATGTCTCTACGTGTTAAAATGTTCCTTAACTCTCAGCCCTTAATCCACATTTGAGGACGCCAGTACCACACTTAATGGGGGACTACCAGGATTTTCTCTTTCAAAATCGATCTAGAATTCATTACTGTCAAGTCACTATTTACGCAATATATTATCGAGTTTAGTATCACTAAAAATAAAAAAAAAGTATTTGATTTTGCAGGTAAGCTTTGATGTAGTTTCATTATAAGCACAAAGTGCGGGCCTCCTTTGTCCAGTGTATCAATATGTTGTTATACTCAAGTCTGATGACATAGGAAGGTCATATATTAACTATATTTCGCCTTCCCATACCTACACCTCTAGTATTTACCTAGCAGCCTCCGATGTTAAGTCAGACCCATCTACAATCGACTTCTATTAACTAGCGATAAAATAATACCCCATTTTTTCGTTCTATTTTTCTTTAGTGATTCTATTCTATATATAAACTCCAACTTAATCAATTTCTAAATGATACGGATTTATTTGTCATGTTATGACGATTCGAGTTGCCGTGGTACCCGCCAGGTATTACGCCGGTCCGAATAACCCGGTGACGCGGCGCGCCGGCTTTGCGAAAATTCAATTAGTGTAATAACAGCACAGTTCCATTATAGCAATCAAAGGAAAACGGGAAAGTTTGCGCACATCAAAGAGTCGCTTAGTGCGTGCTCTCGGCTAATGATACCGGGCGACGCGGCCCGATCTATCGACCCACCGCCTACTGCTCAAATGTTGACAGTTTTTTTATTTTTTAGTAACGGGCTGATTTAAAATGTGGCAATAGCTCTGGCAACGATAACCACAACCATCAGATTTGATAAGAATGCCGCAGTCTTTGTTGAAAAAATGTAATAGAAATATATAACAAAGAAATACAATATGTGGTGTGAAAAGTTTTACAGCTCGAACTTGTGGCAAAAGTGAATACCAAATCGTCAACTGTTTCGGATGGAGATTCGGATTACTTGATGTTCAAGTATTTTGATTGACAGCTTCCGAAGTATTTCCATGCTGGCTGTCAATACCTAGATGGTTCCATCGTTCTATGGCGGTTTATGGCGAGCTTAGAGTCATTCGTGTTGCGATGCTAATCAGCTGGTGAGCATGATAATTTTGTTAACGAACGCAACGGTCCCCGCTTCGCACGACACGTCAAATTTTATGATTTTATAACGGTTATAAAATGTTGAAAGCTGAAATGTTTTGTTTAGTGCTTTTATTTTGTGACTTTAGAAATTGGATGCGATTGTATTCGGCAGCCTCTAGTCGGTGTTGCTAAACATTTTACTGCTTGTTTTTTTTTTTTTAAAAGAAGTGAATAGATGACAATAAAATAGTACAAGTTTTTCTAATAATTAAGAAGTCGAACCGCGAAAAATGTAATGCTCTTGTAATAAATTTTATTATTAGTATTAATGTCTAATATCTAAGCTAATAAAAATAAGTATTACTGTAATATTTTCATTATCTATAATAAGTGAATCAAATTCCTATCAAATAACATGTTTATTATAATTGTTTTGATCGAATTAACGTTATTGCTTACCTCCGTCGTCGTCTGATCTTTGCCGAAACAAACATCGCCGCCATCGCCGCCATCGCCGCGCACTGCCGAACCTCTTTGATAATTATAATACATTCCATTCATTTGTTAATCGAAAGAGATTCAATTTAATTTGATGTTACAATTAAATGTCTTATATATCTTGTGTGAAATACATAAGTTTTAATCTCAATTTAATTTTTATAAGACAATATTGTGAATGATTTGTTGGGAAACTGCATTTTAATTCAACATTTGTTTACATTTGCTTTGAGTTAATAGTCAAAGTAAAGCGAAACAAATTCATCTATATTGCTTGTAGTCGGTTTTCGTATTACAACTCTGGATTTAAAAAGTTTTAACATGCTCCACGTTGTTCCAGATACATTTTCAACAAACAAACTGATCCGACAAACGAAAATGCAGCGGCAGTAAGCTGCCACACAGGTACGGGAAATAGAAAAATATTCCTATAAAACTTTTATAAAACACCTCGTTTTTAGTTAGATTTTAATTTAAATTAACTTTGCTAAAATTGTGAACGAAAATTGTATTTCCCGCCAAAAACAAGTCTTCCTTATGTTCCATCTACTGACATCTAGTGACACATTCGAACAATATGCAAATTACCCGCCATCAAAATCGTCTTACTCGTCGAGAGACTAGATGGCGCTATTTTCCATAGTAATTCTGCTGTCATGTATTCATCCATCAAAAATGACAAGTGTCAAACTCGTGTCGCTTTTGTATACAAAACCAAACCGAGCCAAGCTAATTTATTATTTATTTCCAAGAAACTTTTCGTTTTTATGTCCTCGCCTCATTTGTTAAAGAGAGTACCGTTCTGCTGCAGTGAGTAAGTCTATCAAATTCTGTGTAGTGTTTCACTCATTAATGTTCCATAAATACGATCCTTCCGGGTTTCCATGTAAGAAATCTGTGTTTACAATACGAGATATAACTCGGGATGCTGGGCTCTTACGAAATCTGGAGAGGCGTCGCTTGATACTGCTATAGCTTATTTTTTTTTTACACCTATTCTTTTTTGGCGGTAACTTTTACGACTATAGTTCTTTGTTTACAACTTGTTTCCCATCTTTATTTTAATAGCCCAGAAATATTTTTAGGCAATCTATCTCCTCCATGTTCAACAGAAGTAAGGAATATTGAATAGGTTATGTGAGAAATTTAACTAAAAAGTAATTTTAAAAACTGAAAAAGTTTGAATTATAGAAAACAAAGTACTATACAGCATTATTTAAATTTAAAACACATTTAAAAAGTATGTATTTGTAAAAATAATCTTAGTAATAAGTATAACATAATAGATAAAATTATTAATCTTTATTTTTTACTAACAATGTACATTAGAAATGCTTGCTTAGTATTGATTTTGTAGTTACAATAAACCCTATCATAAACAAATGCAGTACACAACATGCGAGGGCCGGGGCTATATTCGATCGGATCCCATTGTTGTATATTCAGCCTCCAGCTCCGTATCCTTCACTCGGATCACTGAGGGAGCATTGCGCAGTCGTGCTTTCTCAACTTAGCTTCAATAAAAAAAATATTAATAACCAGTGTTATACCATAGACTATTTTTTTACTACTAAGTTCCTTCAACTCATTGTTTGTTTAAATACAATGAATATGGTAAGGTCTTTATAATTTTTTGCCCTTTTTCATAAATGGTTTATTGAAGCATGAAGTTATGATTTGATTTGTTATGACATGCTCTTATTATGTTGTCCCTTTTTTGTGTATTTAGTGAAAGGAAATTATGTTTTTGATCGGAGAATTATTTTGAACTTTTAATAATGTGCATAAAGTGCTTTGTAATGTGATATGTTTGAATTTGAGTGAATTTAGTATAGTGATATGGGTTATGAAAAGATTTTTAACAGCCGTTGCAAAGCTGATGTTTGGCTCTGTGGTCCGATCGATGCCGGAGACTCTTGACTTTGGACCGCTGCCTCATTTTTATTTGCTATCTCTTTCCAACTTGTGCAAATTGTATGAAAGGCTTGTTGTATTTTGCCCTCTGTGTGATTATTGATTTTTTTATAATGCTTGGTGCGCTTATGCTGTTAGTCGGTGAAATGTGCCAGTATTGTTCGATCATATTGAAAGAAAAACTAACTAAAATGGATATAATAAGAATGGTATGGTGATAAAAAAGGAAGTTTAAGTGTTGTGTACATGGTTTTAGTAATTTTTGTTATAAAAGATATCATTTTGTTTATTATTGTATGATCCAAAGCAGTGAAACACTGAAGTTTTTCATAAATTGAACTGAAATCAATAGTTTTGTTAGGTCTAGTTTAGTTTTTTCACCCAATATTGTTTATTTGTACTGCTATTTGTAATGAATTCATGTTACTGAATTCTACTTGACCTTTTATTACTTATTTTAGTGTTAACTTGACAGTATTCTATGTTTGGCTGAGTGTAATAGAGTTGTTTGTTTGTCAGTTGGTGTCTCGCCATGCAGCGCGCGGGTGGGAGCAGGGCCTGTGCGCCATGAGCCACACTCCTATAGGCGGCCACCCGCAAGGTATTACAATATTTTTAACGTCTATATGATTACACAAAGCTTGTTTACTATGCTGCGGTATCTATACTAAATGTATATGCTTCGAAAATAACTGTTTGTATTTATGACATGAAGGTTGGGAGCACAAGCTTGCTGACAGGTCGTCGCTGCCGCCGGCTTCAGGGGAGGAGAGAAGCAAATCTCAATCCAAACATGTCTTCACACACCCACATCTCTCTAAGTGAGTTACTATTTTTTTAACACTTTACTGCTGCTATTGCATTATTCAAATGTTGGTGATATTTGTGTATTTAGAGATAATAATTATTTTTTACGTGTATGTTAGGATGGGAGCGGCGGCGTGGCGCGAGGAGACGGAGGGCTCGTCGGGCAGCTCGCCGCGCTCGCCCGCCTCGCCGCCCTACATGCGCTGGGCGCGCACCCTGCACGACCTGCTCGAGGTACCATCCCCTACCCTTCTCTCACCTCCCCCCCACCAAACACATCACACATTGTTCTCCCCAATGTACTTTAGTACCTGAACCTTGAGCTGGTACAGTCGTGGAAATCCGCGGTGTTCCACTATACTGACAAACTCCGCCACCTCCTACAAATAACTAATTAGATAACAGAGAGTGGTGTAAACAAAGGGATAATAATAAAAAGAAACCAGCCGTAGATCATTAATATACGCTTTTTCGTACAGACACATTTAAAAGCTGCGTTGTATTGGCTTTTGTTCTGCATCTCGTTTCAAAATGTTCACACGGTTGTAGCTTTTAGAATGGAACACCGCTACTTTCCACGACTGTACAACGGTCATAGTACTTTCCTTTATGACGTGTAAAATCAAATAACACTTATTTATGTGTATTAAATGTATATAATGTGTGTTAGGACGCGGAGGGCGTGCGGCTGTTCCGCAAGTTCGTGTCGGGCGCGGGCGGGCTGCACGTGGACCGCCTCAACTTCTACTTCGCGGTGCAGGGCCTGCGCCAGGAGACCGAGCCCCCCAAGATACGGCAGGTCGTCTCCGCTATATACAAGTCAGTATACCACAATACACTCTTTATCTACGAACAGATCTATAGTATGACCTTGACAGTTGTTGAGACAAAATTAATTTAATTTGTCATTGAAAATGGTTTTTAGATTCCTGCGCAAATCGCAGCTAGCGATGCCGGAGGAGCTGAAGCAGCGCGTGAAGCAGAGCCTCAAGGATGGCTCCAGCATAGAGAAGACCATCTTCGACAATATGGAGCAAGAGGTATGTATATGCATTTTAAAATCATATTTGGTAGACATAGATAAAGAGGAAAGTGTTGTTTAAATATAATAATGTATTTGAATATTGCAGGTGACGCTTGCAATAACGGAGACGACGTACCAGGCGTTCCTGCGGTCGGAGGCGTACGTGTCGTACGTGAGCGCGGCCACGCAGCCGCTCTCCTCGCCCGACACGGAGCCCCCGCACAGGGACCTCGCCGTGAGTACACACGACGTTACACATTACATTACACATCTCATCTACATCTATAGAAGTGTGTAAATTAGGGGCTATGGTGTCAAATGTCTAACTTTTAACGGACACAGGAAAGAATGAACGGAAAAGGATTTATTTTCCTGTACGTCCTCATTTTCTCTAACTTGCCTTATTAGGAAAGTGGAAAGAAGACTAAAATAAAAAAGAATAAATTAAAATAACATACGTTTCGGTTCAAAGTATTTACACTTTTGCTAGGTCATAATTAATGTGCATCATGTTTGTCAGACGCTGGGGTGCGGTCTGGCGACGCTGCACGAGGGGCAGGAGCTGAGTGCGGGCGGCGGGGCGGGGGGCGCGCCCGCGCGCCTCACGCACGACGCCCTTCTCGCCACGCAGTCGCGCCGTCTGCACTCCGACACCGCGCCGTCAGTACACATTACACACTACGTCTCACTCTATGCTCACTTTACACACCACATCTAGCACTACCTACACAGTACACATTACACATCACGCCTTGCACTACGTACACAGTACACATTGTACAACACGTCTCACACTACGCACAAGTACACAATACACTCCACGTACATACTATATCTATACACAAATGAATTTATTACACAAAATAATACTTGTACAGTACATACACTTTTTAGATGTTATAATTTGCTTATTACATATTTATAGTTTGTTAGATAGCAAAGTAGAAGTGTAAACGTAATTCATGCTCAGTGTTTCATTATTCATAGTTTTTAGTTTCATTGCTAGTTTAATATTAATACACGTTTTATTTAACGAGTGACCCCGCAATGCATGCACGTCCCAGCGTGTAACGCAGTTATTTTTTTAATAATTTTTCCCCCTAGCAGCTTTACTGATGTGTCCATTGTATTGTTTTGCCCCCATGTTTGTTCCCTGCCTGCATGTTCGCTGACTACGATTGTACCCACGCTACACTGTTTTTACCACCTGACCCCATTATCCTAAAAAACGTACTAAACCAATGGAATTTTCCTTTATCCTGCAATGATGTACATTGCGTGCGATGTTCCCGTGTTATATCCATCGCCCCTCGTCCTCCTCCCGGTGGTAAGAGCAGGCACCGCAAGCGGTCGGTGTACAGCGCGCACGTGTCGTACGCCGGCTACTGCCCCGCCTCGCGCCAGGACTCGGAGCGCGCCAGTCTCAGCAGCGGCCGCACTGATAGCGATGCTGTATCTCTTTCTGGCAGCAGCGTGTGAGTATAGCTCCCTCTCGCTCTGACATCACATGGGGTACTTTAGGATTTTTGCAATTTAAACTTGATTGTCAACGTTTAAGTGAAAGGTAAGTTATTTAAAGTAATGAAGTTGTATTGAGTTTAGTAAATAGAAGTGAGCTTTACTAGTTTTTTTATTATTTTTACCTACTAAGTTGCATTTATTTGCCCCCTTCACGCACACAGCTTTGAAGCAAACACTAATATCACAATGCAATTTATTACTATCATATAATATTAATAGATTTTTATTTGAGAAAATCGGTCCAGTAGTTTTAGAGTTATTTCAATAAATTCAATACATACAAAAATTCAAATACTTGAGGTAGTTTATAATAATAATATAGATTCGTCATAGTAGCGGGAAAGTTTAAATTTTAATAGCGCCATCTGACGATTTTATTACGTCAATTTTACAAGAAGTATATGAATATAATTTTTTATTGTATTTAGATAAGTGTATTAAGTGTATGTTATTTGTGTTGCAGCGACGGCATGGCGGTGCGCGGCCGCGAGCCGCGGGAGTCGCGTCACCGGCCGCGGCTGCACGGTCTCGACAGACACGCTCTCATCAACAAGGAGCAGGACACCGCCATGGTGAGATACACAGGCCATGGCCATAGCTAGCCCCCCACCACTAACCCCCTTCCCCCATCATCACTCACAATGCTCCACCTTTATAATACCAAAAACCAAGTGAAATTCTAATTAATAGTGTGAGAGAAAAAAAATATGTAACTTTCCAAACAAACATTTTGTGACATGTGACAGAGAAATCCCTTTTATAGCCTGTCTATGGCCAGAATTCTTGCAAAAAATTATGATTTATCGTCCCACCTTTAAATATTGCTACCCTATCTCAAATTCGACTAAAGTGGCTTTGAGATACACACACTAACCGTAGTTATATGATAACTGTGTGTTGTCCAGGTGATCCCACGCACGCAGCGTGTGCAGTGCGAGCAGCTGCGCGCGCTGCCGCCGCAGGAGTTCGCCGCGCTGCTCACTGAGAAGCTGGAGCGCGTCCGGCGAGACATCGACGCCAAGGACCGCCTCGAGAGGAGGCTGGCGGAGGTACGCCACGCCCACTACGATAAGTGACACGCCCACTGACACACTCAGCCGTTTACCGTTTAAATCTATTAGTAAATCATTTAAATCTTTGTAATATAAACTGCATCTAAAGGTATTCTTACTGTACACACTTAAGTGGTCTCTCTTAGACGATAAACCATTACCTAAAGTTTTTAGTACTTTACTAGAAAGTAATTAAATGTATATTTGCAGGGCGAAGGCGAGGAGCTGTCATCCCAGGCATTGCCGCCGCAGCTGGTGGCCGCCGCCATCCGAGAAAAGCTGCAGGTCGACGACGACAACGATCAGGACATCCTCGGTCAGTTACACACTACTATACACTGTAACATCTAAATGCGATATCTTTTTTATTGTTTTTTTAAATTGTAATGTGATGTTGCAGATCAGCACGTGTCTCGTGTGTGGTCGGAGCGCACGCCGGGTGCGTCCCCGCCGGGGGGGCGGCGCGCGCGCGGCAGACACGCCCCGCACCCAGCGCACACCACGCACCCCGCGCACACCACACACCCTACGCACCCCGCGCGCCGCGCACCCTCCGCCATCTCCGCAGACTCGGGACACTACGACGCGCCCGAGGGGCTGCACCATCCACACTCTCTTACACGCAGGTACGCACTATGTGCAATATAGGGTTGTCACCACGCAACATTTTTTTTATTCTTGTGTATTGAAAAAAATACTAAAACTTTGGTAACCTTCTCGATTTGTATCAGAAGCCCATCTCTAACTTGTATTTTGTTTGTGAATATAACAATTACTGAACATTTTCGCCTACTTTAGACTTGCGACTAATAGCATTTGAATGTAAATAAGACAAGTAAGCATGCGAGGTGAGGTGACGTGCGTTACTCTTTTCCAGCGCACTGTATTAGCGCGCTTGTGCCGCGGTAGGCGCGTGCAAGCCGCGGTATAACGCAGCTCTAAGCGGCCCCTCCAACGACCTAGGTGACGTAGGTGACGCCTACACAGAATGTAACGCCCCGAGCCATTGGTTTCTTTGCTGTTCAATTGAAAGTTGATTTCCAGCTTAGTGACGTTGAGGAGTTATCTTAGAGCGATGCGTTTTACTTTTTATTTCGTTTTTGATTCAGTTGTGAGCTTGGCGCATGTTTGTCGTAGTTGTGTCCGGCTTGACTTTTTTGATAAGTGTCATTCGTTGTGCTAGACAAAAAAAAAAATGCCGGTTCTTCGTTCTTCAGAGTGGGATGATATATTTATTTGCTGTGTTTAGTAGATCGAGATTGTGAATTTATAATTAAGAAAAATTAAAATGATCTCAGTTGTAATAATTAATGTTTATTAAATGATTGTAGATCGTTATCAAAGAAGACGGCGACGGAGCTGACGGACAGCGGCGTGTCGGTGGTGAGCGAGGGCGGCGCCAGCGTGGAGCCGCGCATCCTGCTTTGGATCGCGGAGGGCTCGGAACGCCTCGAGCGCCTGGAGCGCCGCCAGAGAGACCTCTCGCGGGCCTCCAGCGCGGAGCGCGACGAGCCGCGCCGCCGCGACAGGCAGCCCGCACGCACACGGTATGCACGCACGTACACGTACGCACTCACGCCGATGAACACATACGCCCACGCACGCAAAAGAATATGAGTACTTACGTGTTAACGTGCACACACACAAAATTAGACTATGTTTTACAACTATGTTTAACACACATTTAAACAAACAGAATAGCAGTTAATATGGTATTAAGTGACTAGTACTTATAGACATCTAAAATTATCTTTGTAGCAGATGCGTTGCTGTTAAATGAATGAAGTATAAAAGAAATAAAACTTTAAAGTTTAGCTTTTATTATTTAGTACACTGGAAAAAACGATGTCATAAATGTTTTATTGATTAACTAAATGTTTAATGTTACTCATGTTTGTAGGGGCGGCGGTGGTGGCGGTGGCGGTGGCGGCGGCGGCGGCAAGGGCGCGGCGGAGCACACGGTGGTGGTGGTGAGCTTCCTGGACGAGGCGGTGCCCTACCGCTTCAAGGTGCCCTCTGTGCCTCTCACACTCAAGACCTTCAAGGACTACCTGCCTAGGAAAGGAAACTACAGGTATTTTAACACTTATAACAAAATCTTTTACTAATGTTATAAAGAAGAATGATTTGTATTTTTGTATGTATTGAAATAACTTAAAAACTAGTGGGCCGATTTCAGTAATTCTTTCACCATTAAGAAACTACGTTTTCGCTAAGTATAATAACTATTTTTTAATTTCACGTCGACGAAATCGCAAGCAGCAGCTGGTAATATAAAAAAAATAAAAATGTAATATTTTTGTGTAGATATTTCTTCAAAACGGAGTGCGCGGACCTGGACAACACGGTGATACAAGAGGAGGTGAGCAACGACGCCGACACCCTGCCCATGTACGAGGGCAAGGTGATGGCGCGCGTCAAGAACATCGAGTGAACACCGCCCACTGCCCCGCCCACACCCGCCGCGGACACGCCCACACACGCCCACATTGTACAAACGTCCTTGTTATCCGATAAATGTATAAATTAGGACGAATTTCCTTTAAACAAGCGTTATAACGCTTATAAGACAATTTATAGAAAGTGTCGAACGACATGTGCAAGCAAATATCACTTCTATGTGAGAAGAGATACAGTGAATTATGTGCGGTATTCGCATGCGCGGCGTCGCCCTGTCTGCCGCCACAGTGAGAGACTACTTTAAGAACTACTAAAATTTTGCACGTTACTAATTCCAGTGATTTGAGATTTGTATGGAAAAATGTTTTTGATTTATTTACTGTCTTGTGTCTTGCCAGTTTCTAAAAACGTTGCAAAATTTTAAATAATGAAGATTCGATTTTTTTTTATTATTTTTGTAGATCTTACGGAATTCCGTATTTGTATTTATTAAATGACAAATCGTGTTTTCGATGTATGACAAATTTAATAAAATGTTGTTTTTTATGTTAAAAATGATAAAATATTTACTGATTTGACATGCTCAGCTGATTGAGCTATAAATCTAATGAATTAAAATGGTGTTAACAGCGATAGAAGAGTTATTTAGCCGCAGACAGGGCAACACTAGACTTTTGTAAATTATTTATTAAACAAAAATAATTACGATAGCATTAATAATAGTTATAAATGACGAATGTAATATAAAATCGGTTCCTCGGCGTCAGTTTTAGACTTTTTTTTTATGTTTTTAATTTCGGAGCTAGTTGAGTACGCTTACTACTGTACGATATATATTTTTTTTCAAACCGTACGCAATTTTCTTTATAAAATATACCTAGTGTTATATGAATGACTGCTTAGTTTGTATATTTCAACTTAGGTGTTAACAAAGTGTTCGTTCGAATCAAATTGTGTTCGTTGAGTGCGGATTTGGGTATCGATGTTTTTTTTTTATAATGAAATTAAACCCTGAGTGATAGATGCTTAGCTTTACAAATAAACGCTGTATAAAGTTAAAGGAATAAACTGAGTATAAGCAAAATTTTTACTAATATGTACTCAGTTTATTTTTAAATTGACTTTATACCGCATTTATTTGTAAGGTTTATTGTTTAATACTTTTTGTAATCTATGTTCTCCTGTTTTAATAAAATTTAGAAATAATTCAACACACTCGTGAAGTGAGATCAGAATTATATGAAGTACAATTTACTTTTGCAAAATATTTAATAACTTTTTTTAATTGTATAATTCTAGAACTCACTTCATCTGTGGATTTTTAGTACAATTTCTCGTTTCATATATTATCACATTTTTAATTGTTATCGTTGATAATAAGCTGAAAAATGTCGGAAAATATTTGAAATTGAAGATATGTTTCAAGAACTGATTACCGTTATTTTCCATGGTATCTATCACTCGCGGGTTCGTGATCCGAAGTTATGTAAATAAGCCTTCCAATGCATGATGGGATCTCAACAAATAACTATCGATAAAGTTACATAGTTTAATGAATTGTATCATAAGTGGACAGTAAATATAATTTCCGTTCTGCAGCTGTGAATATATAGTCATAGTGAGGTTGGAATTTTTTGGTTATAATTCAGTCTATGTGACAATTTTTTCTACTACGCATTTTGTTAAATATGAAAAAAATAACTTTAATATCTATGAAACGTATATTTTCACACTTTTCGTAGTAAAATTAATTGTGACGTGAATTATTTTTTTGTAACATCAGACTGAATGACAATCTTGAACGATGACTTGTCTGAAATCGCTCTGCGCTTGGTCACGGCGAAATCGTTCATTCGTTCGTTGACTTCAATACATCAGTATAAACCCAAATACGCTTCAGTCTATTTTTTTATTTTTAAAAGCAAAACATACCAAATTGTAGCTTACAGGCTGTTAATAAAAAAACACATAGCCTAAATTACTTACGATAACGTAGCTTTCTAATGGTGAAAGAATTTTTGGAATCGGTTCAGTAGTTTTTGAGTTATTCCCATACATACAAAAATACAAATCTTTCATCTTTATGAAATTACTATAGACTAAATCTACAATTTCATATTAGTTCAAAAATAATGACTAAAGCGTATTTTGTTTAGTACGTGTAAGATTTGGTCGTGCGCAGGCGCAGCGCGACTTGTCCATGAATAGTACTTATTTGGTGTAAGAGTTAACTAGCTTGTGTCCGGTCCACGGCAGTCGCACCGACGAATGCACGATATTGAGAATAGGGTGCGTAATCATGTGCCTTCAATGTTGATAAAGTTTTCATAGTTGATGCTTCTAATTAGTATTAAGGTCGATTCAAATGTAAATATAGACGTAACGCTCCATTCGAACTCTTTAATATTCTAATTATTTAATTCTTCGTTTTATTTATTGTGTAACGCGGCGCAGACGGGTCGGCGCGCAGACAACTGCCAATTTTCAATTTCTAAGCAAACTGATTTAAAATATCAAAGGGTCTATCGCGAATATTTGCGTAACATTTGGGAGAAAATATTTGTAACATCATCGACAGAATGTGTATGAGATTTGTTGGTGTACTTTTCGTCCGGTAGGAGCGCTGCACAAATCTAATACATTTTTTGTAGAGACGTTATAAATACGTTCCAAGAATATTCGTGTTAACCCTTTCTTGTTCGTGTTCTTCCATCTTTCACAAGTTATATACCATTTTTTCGACGAATATTAATAAAGTTTTAATTATTTTGTACCTATCTGAATTAGTATAGCCAACTCCGCAGGCTGCGTCTGCGCCGCGCACATTTGTCCAGTCATGTCGACAGTGCTCCGTACATAGATGAACTATATCGTTTTTAATATATTAAGGCACTTTCGGTACACAGTAGCGTCGCGAGTATATCGTTAAACGTTCCGGAGGTAAATTATGTCGAAATTATAGCTTGTTAAAATGTTTTACAACACCAGTTGTAATGTCGACAAAAAATAATCGATTTGTAATTATATTTAGAAGTACACTCAGAGATGGCGCTACGTGACCATTGGACGGCTGACGAATTGAAAGTCGTACGATATACATAAAATTAAATTTTACAAGAAAATAACATCAGTCTTCTTCAGTTATATTAAGTCATAGTGTTTTTCATTATTTGTCAAGTCGTACGACTTTCGATACGTTCGCAGTCTTATTGTAAAAGAGTTTCACTAATCGGACTGTATTATTTTTTTATCTAGCACATGTAACATTTGATGAAAAAAAAAATAAACTGGAACTGTGCCATATTTGATTTTTTATTTATTTCCTCACTAGCGCTTAGCGGCAAAAATAATTTACTTGTATCGCAGCAACAGACATTTAAAATATATACAGGGATGTCCGGAGAGACTACCACAGATTCCTTGGTTAAAAATATGACGAATTGACCGAACTTACTTCTATCCAAAGTTGCTCAGTTTGGGCGATAGAGAGAGACCAGTGAATAAAATAGCAAAACATTGGCAATAAACATTTATTTTAAAGCTTAAAAATACTGTCATAACTCAAAATATAAGGCACACTTTTGTGCAATACTTGAAAATGTACAATGACAAAGGTTATGGAAATATCGCAAATATCTATCTATGGTTTTTTTTTACAATTTGCACCAAACTTAAAAATATTTACAAAAGGTAATTATTGCAATAAATATGATCACAGTCAGGCAGTTAATTTGAGATGTTCTCATGAGAAGACTTCTCTAATTCCTTGCAACAGGCGCGTCCTCACCGGGTCGTCGTCGGCGTAGCCCGCGGAGCGCAGGTGACGAGACACGCTCGATATTAACTGCAACAAACAATATTAAAAACAATAAATAATGACAAAAAACTAAAAATGTCACAAACAGTATTTACTTTTGAATATAGTAATGTTTTATACTAGCTTTTACTCGCGACTCCGTCCGTTAGGAATTTAAAAAACTAATAAGTAAGGCTATATGTTTCCCAGGTTATGTTCTACATATGAGACAAATTTACTCCGGATCTGTTGTCATTATTGCTCTCAAGGCCATATAAGTAACAAACTACCATCCATCCAAACTTTCACATTTATTAGTAAGTAATAAGTTGTTTCTGATTACGTGACTGTTGGCTAATTTATGGATTTGGGGAAACTTGTTCTCTATTATCCTATGTAATTGTGTGATTAAATTAGCTGTTGTGTTTACTTATATAGTTAAACAAAATAAATATTTCTCAATTAAAGTTGAAGTTTAACATATATAAAAATACACTTTTTTTATAATATAATCCTGAATGAATCCAATAAAATGGCAAGCGACCGCTGCCCATAGACATCCGCAATTGCAGATGCATCGTCTACCCTTATTCGACGGAGGAGGAGACGCACATAAAGAGGATATTTCCCCTTCCTATGCATCACCGTCAAATCCACTTCCCCTTCCCATCCTCTCCTTATAAGAAAAGAGCAAGAGAAAGGGACTTAAATGAGGCCTCATTCATATTTCTACCTTATCTAGGTAGGTGATGCCAGCGATGGGGCAGACATCCCGCGCCATGTCCACCGCGAGCGCGTCCCCCTGCGTGTCCCCCTGCGTGCGGCGCAGCGCGGCGAGCTCCCGCAGCAGGCGCGCCACGCCCCCCGCGCACACGTCCGCCGCCACGCGCACGCGCAGCGCGTACCCCGCACTCTCCGCACCGCCCTCGCTCTCTTCTACACGGAAACATCTGGAAAAAACAGCTATAAAATTAAGATGGCGTAATTTTTGAAGCTAAGGATTTTGCTTTTACTAAAAACAGTCGAGATTTAATTAGTTTCATTTTTTATCTATTATCTGAAGGAACATTAGAAATGTTTGCAGATGAATAGCCGGAAATATACTGCATTTACACAATAAATGCACTAGAAATAATTTAAAAAGCCACTTTCAGATGAAATGAAATGAATGTTTCAGATGAAAGGGGCTTTTTAAATTATTCCTAATGATTTCCGTTGCAGCAAAAAAGCTTGTGTATACTCTTCAAGTAACAGATATGCAAGCTGCTATTCCATATCATTGGCACGTGTATTTCCGCCTTAATAATATTTAATATTATGCTATTAAACTGCTGAACGGATCTCAATGAAGTTTGACATGTAGAACATAATCTGGAAGAATAAATAGTCCATTTACTTTTGTTTTTTTTTTTAATTCGGATTCGGACGAAATCGAAGGCAAAAATTAGTGGTAATATTACTAACGTGTACTGCGAGGCGTCGCGCCCCGGCGGCCAGTGCTGCGAGGTGATGAGGGCGAGGAAGGGCGTGCGGGGCGTGTGCGGGGGCGGGGCGCGCTCGAGGGCGACCTGCAGGGCGTGCTGCGAGCGCAGGTCCTGGGCGGAGGGCGCAGCGGGGAAGGCGGGGTGCGAGTGGTGCCAGCCGCACACCTCCAGCCCGCGCGCACGCAGCGCCTCCGCCGCCATAGACTGCGACACTATACACAAAACAGAAACAACATAAAAAAATGACGTAATTGATTCTAACGCATCAAATATATTTTTAAATTGCCCCACCTTCAAGTTTAATAACGTGAAAAGAAATAGCCTAACGAATGACAGAGTAATAAATTTTCTTCGCTGATATTTTATGCTACATTTAAATGTTTACGCTTTATTTTTAGTATAGACTAAATGATGCTTGCGACTAAGTCCGCGTAAAATTAAAAAATAATGAAAAACATGCTATATCTTACTCACAAATAAATTATCTTTCTAAAGGTGAAAGAATTTTTTAAAATCGACCCAGCAGATTTTTACTTATTTTAATAGAAACAAAAATAAAAAATACAAATTTTTCCTTTGTATAATATTAGTATAGATTACCAGGATCCATGTCGCAGTGCGTGCGCGCGTTGGCGGCGGCGGCGCGGCAGTAGGCGGCCAGCAGCAGGTGGGGCGGGGCGCGGGGCGCGGTGGGCGGCGCCGCGCTGGCCACGCCCCCCAGCAGCCCCATCACCTCGCCGCGCGACGTGTGCGCGTGCGCGTCCATCGCGATCAGCGCAGACACGTTCAGCGACACCGAGCACGGCGCCTGACAGTTTACATACATAAACATAATAATATTATAAAAAGAAAATTTGGTTTATGGTTTTTTGTTATTACGTATCTTTAAAACTGCTTATCAGATCTGTATGGCTATATTGGCTTACTAAGTATTTTTTAAATGCCACACAGAGGGAGTCGTGGGCTAAAGCTAATAATAAAATATAAACAATTTGAAGCATGAACTTGTCTCTTTTTAACACTAATAGTTTCAATACAGATTCAAATCAAGTATTAAATTACAATAACTTAACTGACCGGTTTGTCATCATTGTAAACGAGACACCGTATAAGTTGTACGGGGATGTTTCGGGGTGGTCGCTCTCGGCGCGGCTCCCGAGACACCTCGTAAAGGTCCCCCGCAGCTGTGTGCATTATTGTACATCCTCCTCCACCATCCTGAATAGTACACACTCGTAAGAACACTGGCCAAAATCACTTAACAACAAATGGATAAAAGTACTAAAAAAAAAATTCCTTTGGGATGACATTTTTAATAAAAAAAATGTACTTTTACACTAGAAACAATGAAGTCAAGCAAATCCATAATAGTTTCTACTGTAGAGAATTTATTTATATTTCTTATTTACTGACCAAATTAATTTTCTTTCTTCTTTTAGGCATTGGTTCAAATTTTCGTAATGGTACTGCTACTGGTGTTTCATCTGTCATTGGTTTTAATCTGTTTTCACATAATTCTGTTGAATTCTTTGTATGTTGGGTGTCAACTTCTTTATCACTGTCTATATCTATCTCTATGTCACTCTCTGGCTCCGAGTCTTTCTTCTTCTCTATTTTAATCTGTAAAAAGTCATTCTAAATAAATTTTCAAATTTTACATAAAAATTACAAAAAATATGCTTATTTTTTGTGAGTAAGCAGACATTGGAGTATTTTTACACATATGTCCAACAATGGGAATCCACAAATTTCAGTTTTTAACAGATTTCACAAAAGAAGGCAATTATCAATAAATCTGTATTTTTAAATCATACTTATATGTTTGTTAGAGTTTGTAGCCTAAACAGATATCAATGAAATTTAGCACAGACATAGAACAGACGTGGAGTCGCTGGCAAAACCTAGTATCCTAATACTTACAACCTGTTCTCCTTCTGATAGCGGCAAAGCTTGTCCCGAACCTAAGATAATCTGCATTTTAGGACTCTTAGCATCTTCAGACACACCTGAGTCTATCCTCTGTCGGCCTTGTGGTGATTTCAAAACATCTTTGTTTTTACTTTTATCATAATTCCTTGAGACTTTTCTCCTATGGTTACCTATTTTCTTTCCTCCCTTTATTTTTTCCTTATGTTGCTTTGCTAAATTTCTTAACACAGCATCACCTGCATCAATTTCAGTACCAATAGATTCTGTTGAACCAACATTAAGGTCATCATCATAGAATATTTCTGAAGGACTGATCGCTACAAGTCCCGGTTCTTTTAAATCTAGAATATTAGGTTTTAATAAGCTTTTTGGTGATTTGAGATAATTCTTCTTTTTGGGTGCTTTCTTTGTACATGGTATTGTCGGAAGTGCTGTTGATACCATATTTATGGTGTCTTGAATTGTTATTATATCACCCATAATAACTTCTTCTTGTACAACAACAGGTATATTGTCATATTCCTCATGTTTGAATACTCCAATTGCTTGGGTCTCCAAGTTAACACCATGTTCGACTTCAATCAATGCTTGTATTTCAGCTATAGTTTTTGTTTTAAGCGATTCTGCTATTCTATGACTGTTTTGGCCATGTTTTTCCTTGAAGAAAAAAATGCATTATACACAATCAATTTAAATACTTTTAAAGTAAATTAGGATAATGACTATGTGTTAGTACTAGTATTTACCATTTCTTTGTTAAGAATGTCTCTTTCTTCTTGACTCCATAAAGTTTCAGATTCTACAAGTTGTAATTTTCTTGAATTATTCCCTGACAACTTCCGTAATGGTCCATCTTTCGGCCTAGAAAGAAAAATAATTGGTATAAAATAGATACATAAATAAAACAAGGAATTACAAGTCTTGAGATAATAATTGTGTGTAAAGAGTAATTAGTATACAGGCAATAAAAAAGCATTGCTGTAGATCACAACATAAAAATTACAATGCAACTTACCTATTATTGTTTTTAATTTGGCTATCATACCAATTTGTTGCAGTAGAATCAAGCAGCCATTGAGGATGTACTGTGTCTTCCCTATCTGAACAGGAAGGGCTACGACAAATATTTTCTTTTTAATTTAACTTTAAATGTTACCGAAACTTATCTTTTAAGCAGTACATTGAAAACATTGAAAGCAGTAGTATCTTTCTATTGTAGATTACCTAATGCGTTCAATTTTCAAAACGATAACAAAGCTTTGACACAATATAAAAAACGATATTATCTCATAACTGTCTTTTAAGGGACATGTTTTAACATGCTATCATGTATAAAATACATTACAATAACTTACATTCCTTGATTATTTTGGGCCAAACATGAATTAAATGAGAAATCTCCAAGAATGTCAATTTCGTCTTCATCCGCCATTTTTTCTGTTTATATTTTCATTTTACATCAACGCACAGAGTAGATAATGATTACTTATTCCAAATCTATGAAAATATCTCTCCAAATACTCAAATTACTCGAGAATTTTCAAAAACAGATATGCATTTTGGCGTCATCGACTTTTTAAGGCAACACTTTTGCATTAGCGCAAAAATTAGTCTTAATGTATCGTTAAAAACCTTCTACTAAAATCTATTCTATGATTGATTGTCAATGTCAAAAAGACAGTGACACTGACACCAATTGACAGAAAAATATCAACAAAACATCTGTGGCTTATCGTCGTTATATTTGTTATTATCATATTAAATTATCGCTCTTCGTAGGCAACACACCTATTTTGTTACGCAAGTAAAGTAACGCAATCATTCAGCGTTTGGGCTTCTGCGACAGCGGGCGATTATACTTCTAATGTTAATTTAATGTTTGATAAACTAGAAAGATGAATAATATTATATTGCGACTACAAAACACAAAAATAATCTCAACATCTATAAGGAGTTTGTCGTTATCAGCTTCTCTTAATAAAAATTATTCGTGAGTATCTTTCACCAATTTTAATATTTTATGTGTGTGATATGACCAGCTTCATTTCTTTAATTTTATATTCATCTTGATTCTTTGTAGATGCAAACTGCTAGTGGTCGGCGGGGGATCAGGAGGCTGCACTATAGCCGCTAAATTCACCAAAAGACTCAAAAAAGATTCCGTCATTGTTTTGGAACCTAGTTCTGTGAGTATATATGTCTTAAACTTTTTATATGCATATTTTTGGTTTAACTGATAGTTTTACTTTAATTTTCTTTGTAATTTAGCAACCTACTCTTAATTAAATATGATCATTTGTAAGGGTAAGATAAGGTCTTGCCTTCTAAAAAACAGTTGTTCAAATTAGTTCAGGGGACAGTGACCCAATGAATTATGTCCAGTAAAGAGTTTTTTATTTTTATTCTTTTAATTCTAATGGCATTGCGTCTATCGCCATTAAACATACTTTAAAATTTTGTGGCCTACACAGAAAATTGTTTTTTAGAATATCAGCCCTTTTCAATAAAAAAAAGTTAAAATTACTATTACTTTGTTATAAAAGTATATTAAAACACTTATCAATAAGAAAAAGTTTGTGTAGTTAAGACTATAACAATATTGTGTAACTATAAGTGCAAACTAAATAAAAAGATGGACAGAGGTGCATAAAAGTGTTGATTGATTGTCTAGTTCAGTGATTCTCAACCTTTTTTTTGTTGCGGCACATATTTAACGATTTCATCATTTGGCGGCACACAAAGAAAAAGATAAAAATTATTTACTTACTACTACTACACACTGCAATAGTTTATGACAAAAATATACAAAACGAGCTGTTGCCCGCGACTTCGTACGCGTGGTATTAGAAAACATACAAACTATAAAAATTACAAAAGCTACATATCCCTCAGGAACCGGACATCCTCGGGGATGAAGCTTATCCCATGTGTACTCCAGACTTTGTTTTATATCTGTGCCAAATTTCAATAAGATATGTTGAACCGTTGCAGAATGATCGAGTAAACATTAAAAAACTAAATTAATGAATCCCACGGCAACCGTAACTATTCCAGGGATAAAAAGTAGCCTATGTGTTCTTCCAGACTATGCTCTAAACCTGTGACAAATTTCATGGAGATCCATTCAGCCGTTTAGGCTACAAACGCTAACAAACATCCATCCATCCATCTATCCATCCATTTAAACTTTCGCATTTATGATATTAGTAAGATTAGTAAGATTTGGTACCTCACTTGAAATTTGGCGGCACACAAAAGTGCCGCGGCACAGTGGTTGAGAATCACTGGTCTAGTTGTTTGTGAAGGTCACTTGGTAATTGTTACTTATGTGTGTGTGTGTAAAGTGTACATCCTCACATACACTTCACACACTCTACTAAGAAACCTCTTTCTTAGTAGAGTTTTTAGAACTGTTTTTTTAATTTAAAACATGTCTGCAGCTACTGGCTATTAACAAATACATTATTCAATTAATTGTAATTCTTATCAGAATTCTTAAATAGATTTGATAAATTATGTAATTTCGTGAGCTGAATTTTTATATCAGGACTTATCTTTTGTATAAATGGATTTGTACTTGTTTATGGTTAAATATTTGATTGATTAATAAATAATCATGTTTATCCAATTATGTTAGTTATAAAACTTACCACAGAGTTTAAAAAGGTACATACAATAGACTCGGAATAGTTAAAGAATTAAATTAGGTTCCCACTTTAGAATGGTTATCATAGAGCTGTCATTGAAGAGCTAAAAGTTACCATTTATTTGCTATGATAAGTTATTGACCTTATTGCATCATCAGTGTCAAATGATATTTTACTAATAGGGTAGGAAATAAAAGTCCGTGATTGCATAAGTAGAAAACTGTAATTGTAACCTTTCTTCTAGAAACACTACTACCAACCATTGTTCACTCTGGTTGGTGCTGGTGTGAAACCAGTCTCAGCCACGTGCAGATCTGAGGAGAGCGTGCTGCCTGCTGGCGCTAAATGGCTACAGGATTCCGCGCAGACCATTGACGCTGAGAACTGTCGCGTCACCACCGCGAATGGTGACGTCATCAACTACGAGTACATCGTTATCGCTGTCGGCTTGAACAATGACTATAGCAAGGTAAGACATGTAGTTAAATATAAATTGTATAAAATAAAATATTATTTTATAATAATTACTGACATAAACACATTTTCAATTCATTGATTGTAATAACCTATACTGATCTGTATTTTTGTATGTATCGAAATAACTCAAAAACTACTGGGCCGATTTCAAAAATTCTTTCACTTTAAAAAACTATTTTATAAACACTCATGGACGAAATCGCAGCAACAGCTAGTTGACTCATAATTTCATATATAATTTTCAATTATTCAATTTCATATGCAATTGCATATGGCAATCTACATCAATAAATTTAAAAAGAAAAAAATGTATGTTCCATTTTGAACATTTTAATGCAATCTAATCTACATCAGTTATTAAAGGCTCCCTTCCTGATATAAGGTGATTGCGTCATACTTAGAGACGTTAATTAGTTACTAAGTGAAACTAATAATATCGATTTATCATAATAAACATGGAGGACACCATATAATGACTTTGAATATGGACGTCGCCAGGTGTCAGGGGATTTAGTTACTCCTAGAGAAAATAGATACAAACTTCAATAAAAAATTAAAATTAGCTGCTCCCTAGATTATCATCTTTTTTTAATAAAAATAAGGTGGCAAACGAGCACGCGGCGACCCGAATCCGCCATAATGGCGAAGCGACCGCTGCCCATAGCCATCCGCAATTGCAGATGCGTTGCCTACCCTTATCCGACGGAAGAGGAGACGCACATAAAGAGGATATTTCCCCTTCCTATGCATCTCTTCCACTGTCAAATCCACTTTCCCTTCTCATTCTCTCCTTATGAGAAAAGAGTGGTAAGGAGTAAGGGACTTAAATTAGGCCTCCGGCACCACACTCATCAGACGAAACACGGAATTACTTCCACTTCACTTCTGTATTCTGTGTGGTCGTGGTATTACACCGGGCGTGCCGGCCCTGCAGTGCTAAGATGTTAAAGCGGGCACTACCACTGTCTGGTGAGGCTCATGATATTAAATAGGGTAAAGTATCACCTCTAATTTGAAAGCCAATCATGTAGGTGCCAGGTCTAAGCGAGGCTCTAAAGGACGAGAACAGCGGCGTATCGACCATATTCGATGCGGCGTACTGCGAGAAAACGTGGCGAGATATGCAGCGTTTTAAGGGTGGTAATGCCATCTTTACCTACCCCAATTCACCCCTCAAGTGTCCCGGCGCGCCCCAGAAGATAGCTTACCTCGCTGATTCGTATTTTACTAAGGTAAGAAATCTATATAGATGTAAGAATTGGAAGTGAATCTGCCTACACATCTGTGTTAGTGAGTTTAGTAGTAAAATCATGTTGTTAGATATACATTAATTATTAAGGTTACACGACATAATGGAACTAACTTAGCCTCTCTGTAATACAAATGTAAATAATAGTGATAATGCATATAATCTATGTACACTATCACCTACCGCCTTACAGGGAAATTTACGTAATAATCTTAAGTCTTGCCTCTCAGATTAAATCCTTGTGTGCACCTTTGACTAAACTATCTCCTGATTGTCCATTGTTTCGCAGCCAATTAAACTGTTTAGTTACACAACGAAAAATGAAGTGCAAGCCTCCACATAAGCCCATAGTAATCTAAGCGAGATTGAATAGTTGTGCGATACTTTAGTCAAAAGTGTACGCGTGTTTTAAGATATCTTAACCGTGGGATCTTAATCTTTCTCAATAATACTTGAACATTCTTTATACTTGAATATTTTATTTATAAAACAAAATTTTTATATCATAAATCTCTATTTTGTTTTTTTATATCGTTCCATACCTGAGTAGAATATATTTTAAAAACAAATCGTATTTTATAAACGTTATCTTGTGTTTGTTAAATAATACGTTATGTTTCTGCAAGTCACACTCCACGCAATTTATATTTAGAGATCGTTCAATACATATCACTTTTATTTATAAAACATGACCAGTCTATTGTTCACTAAAATGTATTATGAAACTGAGTTTTCACTGTCTAGAAACTTATATAAAAAAAAAATGTACCATTTTAAACAAGTCACAGAGGACCCTTGTAACCGATAACCACGTGATGCATAATTCATAACTTTGATAAAATATTTTTGTTGCTATGCTTAGTGTTACAAAAACAATCCGATGTTATTTGGGTTTATGGCCACCGCTGTGCTCCTGTTATTTGTTTCTTAATAAGAATGCTTATTTTTTAATAAGAATTTAATTCTTTAAATTCTCATATTAATGAGAAACTACACTAAAAAGCTGCTTTAGCGATCGGTAAAAACTTCGTAATATTTTCAAGGCTAACGTGCGTTCAAAAACCAAGATAATGTACAACACTTTCCTGCCTGTGATATTCGGCGTCAAGAAGTACGCGGATGTCCTGGTGAAGGTGGCGGAGAGGAAGAACATTCAGGTCAACTACAAGACGGTACTAAAGCAACTCGACCACACCAAGAAGGAGGCGGTCTTCTACTGTACTAAGGATACTGATCAGGTATGCACGTAGACTATACGACGGATTTGCATTTACTTAGTGTAAAATATTAAACGTATTCATTACTAGCTTGCGCTCGCGACTACGACCCCGTAGACTTAAAAAAAAAACAAAAGTACTCTATGTGTTCTTCCAAACTATCCTCTACACCTATGCCAAATGTCATCCGTGGTCCGTTCAGCCCTTTAGGCTACAAACTCTAACAAACATCCATCCATCTAAACTAATATTATAAATGTGAAAGTTTAGATGGATGGATGTTTTTAAGAGTTCGTAGCCTAAACGGCTGAATGGAATTCCATGCGGCATAGATGTTAGAACACATAGGCTACTCACTTTTGTTTCTTTTAAATTCCACACGGACGGAGTCGCGAGCGAAAGCTAGTTAGTGATATTAGAAAGATTTGTAGTGTTGACATTTTTAACGTTTATGTTTTTAAGCCGCTCTTTTTCCTAGTCCCTGTCTGCGTATATCTAAGTTATATAGTTTTTGTTTGAAATTTGATTAGTCCGACCCCCAAGAGTTGACAATGGCATACGACATGTTGCACGTGGCGCCGCCCATGTGCACGCCCGCGTTCCTCCGCAACAGCACGGGGATAGTGGACGCGGCGGGATTCCTCACTGTCCACAAGTATACCTTGCAGCACGACAAGTATCCCAACATGTACGGCATTGGAGACTGCACTAATACTCCGAACAGCAAAACTGCCGCAGCTATTGGTATGTACAATCGGGGAAGTTCTCGGTGTACTACTTACAGAATAAATGTTTTTTGTAATGACAAATTTTGCATTTCTCTGCCTCTTATAGATAACAAGAAGGTCCCTTTAACAATGTCTCTGGAGGCATCACAATGCCCGCACACCCTTATGGTGATCGAATCATTACTTTTATATTCTTTTTAGTAACAACCTCGTAGTAGTACTCTACTACTAGTAGTTCGTAGTAAGGGAAATTAAGCCATATTTATATATTCACAGCAAAACAAAGCTACGTGTTAGAGCAGAATTTATTACAAACGATGAAGAGAGACAAGCCGAGTGAGCAATACAATGGATACGGCGCGTGTCCGCTCGTCACTTCATACAATACTTGTATTATCGCTGAGTTCATATATGATGGGATACCAAGAGAAACTATGCCCATCAATCAGGTAATAACAAATATTTTAACTCCACATACAAAGTATGTAACTGTACATTTGTTGTCCGTCTAGACGCGCTGGTTAAAATAGAGTTTTAAATGATCAATAGAATCTTTAATTATAACTATTGGTTTATTATTTTTAATGATAATAGAATATTTTTATAGAACTATTTTTTTATCTATCCATGTCTATACGAATATTATAAATGGGAAAGGTTTGTATTTAATGAAATAACTCGAAAACTATTGTTCCGATTTCAAAAAATCTTTCACCATTTAAAAGCTGTGTTATTAATTAAGTATTTTTTTAATTTTACGCGGACAACGTCGCGAGCAACAGCTAGTTTATTTATGAATTTAAACCCGGAATTAAAAAACTTAGTAAGTAGTCTATGAGATAGTTTATTTATAAATTTAAATAGATTCCATTCACAAAAAAAAAAACTTATAGTCTATGTGTCCTAGAGTTTATGATTCTCTTAGATATCCATTAAACCGTTTTGGAGATACAAACATTCATACATACATTTTTTTGTATTTTTAATATTGGTGTAATTCTCCAACAGGCACGGGAAAGTATACTAGCATATTATATGAAGAAAGATCTCTTCCCCTTCCTCTATTGGAATTTTATGCTAAAAGGTAACTACAATGGTCCCGAGTTTATCAGGAAAATAATTAATCCTTTCGCTAAATGAAGTAAATGAAAAAAAAATTATATACATATATTGTAAGCGATTACAGTGTAAAGTAACTAATATAGTCATAAAAGCACATTTTTTCGCAAAATATTTTCGCAAAACTATCGTTTTTTTAAAAAATCCTTGAGCAAGATTTTTTCTAAATTATAAATATTATTTTTAATGTATTTTTTTTACTTTAAATACGTAAAAAATATAGATATTTTTGTTATCGATATATGTCTAGTCAAAAAATTCTTGTACATTTGCGATAACGCGGATTATTTTTACTGACATGTAAAAGAATATATTTTTGACTTGTTAATTAGTTTTTATTGATGTTATAAAAAAAGTTAAATCATGTTGAAAATTAAATATATTACATGTGAACCTAAAACTCGACAAAAACAGAACTCTATTTACAATTTTTTAATACATTACTTGAAGTTAAAATTTTTTACAAACGGATTTTTTATTTAATTGGATATGATGTTTTTTTTTGTTATAATTGCAAATAATCCAACATATGTAAAATTAATAAAAACATCTAAATGTCAAAAAAACAATAATGCATGACAAATTATGTTTACTATGATTTTTTACAAGTTTTTTTTTTTAATAAATTAACTTTTAATAACGATTGCTTTTGGTACAAATGTATGAAATTGTATTTTAACTCTAACATAGTTTTACCTTATCTTATAAATAAAATAATATAATGATGTTATTTATAAGCACACATATTTATAACTGTGTTGACATAATTTTAATAATTTCAAAATGCGAAGTGCTTTTATTTTCCTTGTAAAAATGTAATTAATGACTATTTTTGTAAATTACACAATCGGAAACTATGAAATATACTCATCTTTATAGTAAACTGTTGTTTTATTTTTAACATAAAACGAAGTAAACTTGACGAATAACTTTTTTAATCTGAATTAAATAAATATGAATAAAACGTAATCCAGTTGGTTAATTTTCAGTCAAAATTTTGTATCAAACAAAAATGTAAATATTTCAGGAAAATTAATAAATTATGATATAAAAATAAAACATCTATAAATGGCCTTTTTATTGAGAAAACAAAAAAATATTTTAAAACCAGTATGTAGGCAGTACTACGGGATGGCGATGAGCCACCAAAAATACAAGTAAGGACTTATCCCAATTCGCTTTGGTATAGAAGTATTTTATTTTCACTAAAGTTGCGACCAAAGTTGCGATTACCATAATTAGTGGAAGCAAGCACTAATAATGCACCAATTTCCGTTAGTTAAAAATGTCATTCAATTCATAAAAAAAATCGTTTTAATGTTTTTACTTCAGCTTTTTAAGGATAAAAGTATAAGAATACAGAAGAATTTTTAATGCTTTTCACCTGTTCTCGGTTTCTTTGTTGTTTCAATTTTTTTTAATTGTTTAGCTGTAAAGTGTTAATAGTTGGAGGCGGGGCCGGCGGCTGCAGCATAGCGTGGAGACTGGCAAGAATTTTGAGAGGCAAAGACATTATTGTTTTAGAGCCATCAGAGGTAAAAAGATTCAATGCGTTCAAAATAGAAAATAACCGCGAAATCAACTACCGATTCTTTAGTATTAACACATATGTAGCTGTCTCGTTTCTTTTCAATGATCAGAGATGAACAACATTACTATTAAACAAATTAATGTTACCAGTATAAAAACTAGCCTTTGACCACGTGGAAATAAATAAAACAAAAGTGAGTAGCATATGTATTCTTGACTATACTCTACATTTATGTCACATCATGATCCGTTCACCCGTCCTTCTAAAAAAACTTTTTTTTTTCTCTGAACTTTCTGCCCCGCACAGCCGCGTTGTGGAACAGTCTGTCCTCGGCTGTATTTCCAAACCAACACGACTTAGGGTCCTTCAAGAAGCAAGCATACAATTTCCTCAAAGGTATCTGTTGTTCCTCTGGTGTTGCGGATGTCCATAGGCGTCATTGACCACCTCTGTGTTCCCGACGCTCGTTTGCCCCCTCCCTTATATAAAAAAACTGTCGCATTTACAATATAAGTAGGGTTAATTTCTCAGGTTCATTTTTACCAGCCAATGTTTTCTCTTGTCGGAGCTGGTATAAAGCCCTTTTCCGACAGCCACAGACCTCTGAAGACGTTACTACCCGAGGATGTCATTTGGCTCAAAGACCACGCAGAACAATTTGATCCGAGTCACAACGTGGTGCAAACGCGTTGGGGCAAAAAGGTCCATTACGAATTTATGGTACTGGCGATCGGCTTAAAAAATGACTATGATAAGGTACCCCTGATTTTGCAAGTATTCCGCTCAGTATATCTTAAATGAAATTTGTTTAGGTTCGAAGGATATCGATTTTATATCCTTTTGCTTGCTAATCTAAAGTCATTTACAATTTTCTCTTCGACGTATTTAGCATTTCCAATGACATGGCTGCGGCTATAAATAATAGTTCCATTCGATCAAATTAGTTGAAAAAAGGTTTATAATTTCAGATTCCAGGTCTAGTGAAAGCATTAGACGACCCCTCAAGTTGTGTGAACTCGACTTACAGTGCCAAATACTGTGAGAAGACGTGGCGCTGCGTGCAAGGCTTTACGGGCGGCCACGCGTTATTTACCTTCCCGAGACAAGTCGGCAAATGTTCTGGCGCTGCGCTTAAGATTATGTTCCTCGCTGATGATTACTGGAGGCAGGTAGGTGGAAACGTTTGTATAAATCAAGAACTACTCTAGAATAAGCTAAATAAGACACTGGATATGGGAACTTGAACCGTAGGTCTATTTAAACAAGGCTAAGTTTGAATTTAAAGATTATATTTCCCTTCTACATCGTAAGATGAATATATTTTTCAATCATCATTGCTCAACTTATGATGATGATGTCCATCTTGATGTAATCCGTCTTTCTATCTGTAATAGCGTGATGGGGGATGACGACGATGATGGTGAATCCGAAATAATTATTAATTATTTAACAGCAAAAACTTAAAGAGAGGACAAATATCACATTTGTAACGGGCGGTGATGTACTATTCGGAGTACAGAAGTACTCCACGGCGCTCAACAAAATAACTGCATATAAAAATATAGCTGTCAATCGCAGCATAGATTTAATGGAGCTAACACCGAGAGGTGCTACTTTCATCACTGATAATGGACAGGTATTGTTTCTAACTCTGACTTTTGACGTCATAACGTCTTATAAATCGATGAACGCCGGCTGTACGCAGGAATAACCATGACTCATTGTCACGTTCCGTCTGAGCTAAGTGTGTGAGCAAGAGCGCGAAACGAGAGATAAAAAAGGCACATCTCGACCACCCAGGGCGACAGGCGGTTTTATATTGCAGTTAAGGAGCGACGATAATTGCAGTTAAAGCGCCGATAATGCTAAAACGGCCTTGGACGGTATACCTAAAATACCTACTTGTACTATTTGCAGTGCATAACCTTCCCATATAACTTCTTACACGTGACTCCGCCCATGTCTCCGCCCACCTGTCTGGCTGCGTGCACGCAACTGATCGCCAACGAAGGCTATTTGAATGTCGATAAATACACCCTGCAGCACAAGTTGTACCCCAATATTTACGGTGTAGGGGACTGTATCAATACTCCTAACAGTAAAACTGCTGCTGCTGTTGGTAAGTTTCAATTAAATATATATGATAAGTACCCAATAGCACAACGGAGAACCTCAGAGTAGTTTTAGTATGAGAAATATAGAAGCGACTGTTTAAATAACCGATCTATGGAAGTTAAGTTTTAAAAATTCGTCTATTTGTGCAATGAATATTTTTTTAAGACAAAAAGAAAATTATGTGGTAGTTATTAGGTAAAGAATTAATTTGTCTTAACCTTTTTAGCTCGTCAAAGTTACGTAGTTGCACGTAATTTACTAAAAACAATAGAGGGTAAGCCTCCAGTTGTTAAATACGAAGGTTACGGCGCGTGTCCTGTGATGACGTCATATGTCAGAGGCATACTCGCTGAATCTGTTTATGACAAGAAACCTTACGAGACGTTCCCTTTCGATCAAGTTAGTAAAATATAGTATTTTGTTATTTTTTTTAATGAACGTAATTCCAAATGAACTCATTAATCTTGTAAACACATAAATGCCATCTTTATTTTCGGCATATAGTAATAATTTTATTTCATGTCTTTGTGGAAAATTTAATTTTAAAGAAATCGTTACATGGAGTTAGAAAATTGTACCAAATATTCAGAGTAGATTTACTAGGTTAAATATCTAGATTTTTATATGCAATTTTGAACGAGCTCTCTTTATTTTCAGAGCAATGAACACAAACTCATCGGTTTTTTGACCAAAACCTATCTACCATATATGTATTGGAACAGACTAATAAAAGGCAAGTGGAACGGACCTTTAACATTACGTAAAATAATCAACCCTTTAAGTAAATAAACAACCATGTGAGATGAATTTGTTTTTATTAAATTATTTAAAAAACAGTTAATAATAAATTATGAGATAATGCATTTTGTATGTAATATATTAAATTACTCTTATGTACATATATTTTACACGAAATATGAAAGTACTTTCATGATCTAATACTTTATGGTAGGTTTTAAAACTTTAAAATTACATAAATAGTAGCTTTTACTTAAAAAATCTATGTACAAAATTCAACAATACTCGTATGTCAATTACAACTTTACATTTTTAATATTTCTGCATTGGAAGGGAATCTTTACAAAATCAACAATATTCTTACTAATCTTACTCTTACTAATATTATAAATGCGAAAGTTTAGATGGATGGATAGATGGATGGATGGATGGATGTTTCTTAGCGTTTGTAGCCTAAACGGCTAAACGGATCTCCATGAAATTTAGGACAGGTTTAGAGCAAAGTCTGGAAGAACACATAGGCTACTTTTTATCCCTGGAATAGTTACGGTTGCCGTGGGATTCATCAATTTAGTTTTTTAATGTTTACTCGATCATTCTGCAACGGTTCAACATATCTTATTGAAATTTGGCACAGATATAAAACAAAGTCTGGAGTACACATAGGATAAGCATCATCCCCGAGAAATGTCCGGTTCCCGAGGGATACCTAGCTTTTTGTAATTTATATAGTTTGTACGTTTTCTAATACCACGCGTACGAAGTCGCGGGCAACAGCTCGTTTTAAATGTTTATAAAATTAATCTCATAAAAATGATTTTTATTTTTAAATTAAGATAAATTAAAACAGGTATTACGTTCCAACTATTCTAAAATTATGTAAACACAACATTCATTATCAATATTGTGATTTTGTTAAACATTCATACTTTCTTGCAAATTTTAATTTTATTATTTACATATTTTCTTGTTACACATTCATTTATTGCAATTAAGGTTAACACATGACTTTATTCTAACCGCTAATTTAAATTTTGATTTTCGAAACATTGCTATCTCCCTTTTACCAACGGGAATGAAAAAGACGAAGTTATTGTACATGCTTTGGCAATAAAATCTCATTTACATTAGAAAACCTTCCTAATTCAAACTTGAGACATTATTTAAGCTTTATTAAACGCTCCGAATTTTTCTTTCTGCAATCCATTGCTATTTTTAATATCTGTGGCAGTTTGTCGTTTACGTTGCAACGCGGCTTGACGCACCCTGTGCCGACGTCTGTTCCGTACGAGGTACACGCACAGCGCGCCCGCTATCAGCAGCGCCACCGTAATGCACGCTACTAATATTATTATTAGATAATTGAATTTAGGACCCGAATCTGTTGACGGTTGTAACTGAAATTAAAAAAAAAACAATTTTGCTGTCGATTCTTTCTTTTCGTACTTATTTTGTCTTGAAAAATAGTTTTAAAAAAAAACTTTTTTAAACGTATGTGGGTTGCAAGCATCAGCGCCTCTTCCTTGTCATACTATTACGAATAAGATCATAAATGGTAGGGAGGCCAAATTTTACTCTATTCCCTCCTCATAACTTATTCGAAAAGGATGGGAAGGAAAAGTGGATTTGACAGTGGAGAAGATGCATAGGTAGGGGAAATATCCTCTTTTGTGCGTCTTCCCCGTTGATTAAGTGTAGGCATCTGCAATTGCGGATGTCTATGGGCGTTTGCTTCGCTTACTCGTTTGCCACCTTATAATAAAAACAATAGTAGCCGACATTGCAAGGAAATTGTAATAAAGAAAAGTTCTTCCCAGTAGTTTAGATATAATACTTACAATGTAAGTGCCGTGTGGTCCCGCGCGCATCATCATGTCGCTGCACATGGCGGGCTCCGTCCAGTTGTACCAGTGCACCAGCCGCAGACCCTCGTACCCGCGAGGGGACCCGCATCTAATAATATAACCGATAATTGACTGACCCGCAAAAAATACGACGAAATGAGGGTGAGACCAACGCGCGCGCTCTTGTCACGCCCATAAACATTTAAAAAACTATGACGTCACAATAATTGAATGTCGTTTTTAAACAGCAGGACTTAATTTTCAAATGGTTAATCCTAAGTCTGGATCCGTGTCTAATCTTTTGGTTGAAAATTAGCATCTCTTCATACAATATATTCCTACCTGAGTTCTGTCAGCAATCTTGAGTTACTTTTATAGAGTATCGGCAGAAGATCGTCCAGCAACCATTGTAATTGGCAAGAGCACTCCCAAGGGTTGTACTGCAGATCTGCGCCCTCGCCCAGCGACCCCCAGTCTAAAAGACCCTTCGACAATCGGGACAAATTGTTCTTGCTTATATCGATCTGAAACGATACAAAGATTGAATTAAGAACTAAGAAATATCGTATTTATTCCATTTTATTTATATCTAAAGGTTTATTGTAGACTAGCTGTTGCTCGCGACTTTGCCAGCGTGAAATTAAAAAATATAGCCTATGTTACTCATAGATAAATTACCTTTCTAACGGTGAAGCAATTTTTTAAAATCGGCCCAATAGTTTTTGAGTTATTTCAATACATACAAAAATACAAATCTTTCCTCTTTAAAATATAGGTAAATCTGAATGTTCAATGCGTAGTATTTATTGAAAAAAAAATTGCACTACTTAAGTCCTATAATAATCTGGATCTGATTGGGTCTGTTCGTTCCTCATTTTTTTAGTATTTTTGTCTTTATAAAGTTTGTGAGTACAAATGAATTACAATATTTTAAATAGATTTACTCACCATACATAACGACGTTGCATCAAAAGCGCCCTCTTGTATTTCACTCAAAGAACCACAGTTAGACATATACAGATAAAAGCAATTTCTCTCATTATTCTCATCGCCTCTACCAATAACGTTACTAAAAGCTTTGTCCTTCACAGTCACTAACTTGTGCATCTCATTCAAATATAAATTCTTTAACGACAAAATGTTTTTAAAATAAACGTCTTCTATAGGGTTGCCGTCTAAACGCAATTCTTCCAATTTCGGTAATATCTGACTGCTCAAACATTTTGGTACTTCTTTTATCAGATTGTAAGATATATCTAGACTGTATAACTTTGGTAGTTTCTTTTCTATGTTTATATCTTTTATTTGATTACCTCCTATATTGAGAATCTGGAAATAAAAACACATTTGAAAATTAAAAAAATAAAAAAACTTATATGGTAAAACCTATACCAAAATTTTTAACATCGTTCACCATAAAATTTATAATGCATCGGTCTTTTTTTCCTTACACAATATTTTATAAAAATATTTTTTTTCTTTATTTTTCCCTTAATTTTTTCCAATTTACTACACGATTTAATTTATGGTATTTAAAAAAAATCATGTATTTAAAGGTTGTTAATATTTTATCTGTAGTGGGGTAAATGTATCTAAAAAATATTTCGACGTGAACATATTTAATACTGTTACTGCTCAACCCAATATCTACTGCAGTAGAAAATTTCATGTGAAATATGTATGTTTATCTACCTATATTTACAAGATAAATAACAGATAAACTTATTTATAATGTACAAATAAACTTATCGCTTATTTGTTTACGTAGGTTTGTTTAAATATCAGTGCCTTTACTGTGGCGTTTCTTATGCGAATTTTTATTATAATGTTGCCAGTAATTAAAAATGATAGATACTTTAATTAATAATTGGTAAATATCAATGTTCTAAAGTAAATTCTTACCTCTAAATTATCGAACTCAACTTGATTCTCGTTATACATATCTGATAATCGATTGTACGATAAATCGATATAAGTGATGCCGCCGGGGAATGTAGGCCAGTGGTATAAAGTATTGATTTTTAATATGGCAATCTGCAGGGTCGGCGGCAGTGCAAATGTAAACGTTATATTGTTCTGCCCAAGGTTCAATTCTCTCAGATTGACGCACGTGAGAAATGCGCTCTCTTCTACGATCTCTATCACGTTGTTTGATAAATCTAGAAGTTCACTGTAAAGAAAAATAAGCCTAAATATATTTGGGTTACGAACTAGTAATATTTAAACATCAAATGATTTGGAAGACAAAACTTGCATACAATTTTAAGCTTTAAACAATCTTAATAAGAGTTATTTTACAACAACAAAAAGGAAAATAAATTAGGCATAACCAAAGCACTTACATACTATTGTTTAGAGGAAATGACTCCTTGGTCACGGATCTTATTCTGTTCCCGCTTAAACTCAATCTTTTAACGACTTTAAACGGCTCACTCTCACTCTTCTGTAGCAACAGATCATAAATTCCATTTTTACTTAAATCTAAATCCTCCAACAGAATCATTGGACTCAAAGCATCTGTCGGCATCTTCTTTAAAAGGTTACTTTGTAAATTCAACCTTTTTAAATTGTGTAAATATTTAAAATCTAACAAATTGAAATCTGTCAATTTGTTGTACGATAAATCGAGTTCTTCTAAATGTTCTATGTTCGTGAAAAGATCTGGTGTTATTTCCATCAGTTCGTTTTGTGAGAAGGATAATCTCTTCAGGTTGGGTACATCACTAAATGCATCCGGCCAGTACGTCTTGATTGCATTGTTACTGAACCTTAGACTTTCTACTTGTGAATTTGGTGGTAATCTGGAAGTTAAAATGGAGATTAAAAATATCAACAGTAACGAAAATATTCTTGTAATGTAGATTATTAATATTATACTGAGGACATCCTTAATGACCATTAACTAAGTCTAGACGGTAGGCTCTTAATACTGAGAGTTAAACTAATTTTTATACAGCTTCATAGTTTTTGTGGTTAACAGTTCGCAACTATTAATTATTTTATTCAATAATCTCCCGCCATCGTCTTATTGGTGTCAATGTATTACAAGAAAAGGTAGAATTAGGTGCAAATTCCAATGTAATGATTTATCGAGGTAAATTAAGATACAATCGATAAAAGATTGCCTCCTGTGAAAAAGATTTGCACAAACATCTCCGGCACAGTTCGTTGTGGTGATTGATGGGCTGCCGTAGACGATAACGCGGACAACGAACTTCACAACAATTAGTAACAGTTTGATAAGTCTGATGATTTTTTTGACGTAAACGTATTTAGAGCGCGTGCACATCTTTGACTAAACTATCGTACAATTGTTTAGTCGAGCTAGTCCTATAAGTTTATATGGAGGTGCGCACACTACTAGATATTAGTTGTGCAAGTAAACAGTTGAGTTGGCTGCGAAACAACAGACGTGCGATAGTTCGGTCTAAGTATCCTCTGCTGTTTTGTCATGCTGAGGTACTTTGTACAAACACAGCCATTCCTCTCATTCTCTTTAAGAATAAGAGAGATGAGAATATATTTTACGCAGTCGTTTCCCGCAATGGAAACTGGCGGTAAGCATCTCTAAAAGAGATTTCCTACGTTACCATTGTATAAAGGTAAACGCGGAAGTAATGTAAATAGGTTACCAATCTTAATTTAAAAGAAAAGTCTATAAAAAGGATAAGGATAATGAAAATTTTGATGCGTTCATCTCAGAGCATAAACTTGTGCTCATAACTTGTGTTTTCATTGACGAAACATGTCATCTCAATGTGTTTGAGATTTCAGTATTTTTATTGTATTTCTTACGAGTTATTACAGCAGTGGAAATCGCTTGCTAGTTTCTTGAATGAAAATACGTGTTCTTTACATATTTGTATTACTCTTTTATATGCGTTTTAATTATTTTTAAAATATTTTACCCTAATCGATCGTATTATGTACATTGTTTCAATGGCACAAGCGTTTGCTTTGGACAAAGTAAACAAAGGGTCGGTTGATACTCAGAGATAAAGGTTCTCATACTTTGATAAGTGTCATATCTAGTATCGAAGTGCATTACGTTACGCGGTATGACGCTGATGTTGATTCATATTTATAAAAGAAAATGTTACTGTTCTTAGAAAATTCGACAACATTTTTTTAAATTATTAATAACGTCATATACTTGAGCAATAATCAAAGACCAAAATTACAGACATGAAAAAGAGAACATTCAATATTGTTCGATGACTAAATCTGTTAGGAGTGGTCATTATCTAATAATTAAATTTAAAATTTGGTTACGAAGCCGCAGTCTCGCTTTGTGGAAAGAGATTAACTGTCAATATTTGCTTCAAAAGCAAAGATTTTTTATCTAAGTAATGCTATTTTTAGATATTAACTGTACTGTTAACTACTGCCTAATAATGTTACGTTGAAGGTGCACTGTATTTTCCACAGCTATATTTTCTCTGTAATTAGGGCTTTAAAAGTGTAAGGTTTTATGTAAATGATGATAAGGCATCAAGGTCCATTAGTTAATCTGTATTTATAACAGTGTAAAAACCACGTAACGCATTATCATCTACAGAACAGAATATTTTTGATTACCTTACCAATTAAATTTTAATATAATTACCTGCCAAGAGTGTTGAGTCCTAAACCTTCAAAGGCAGCAGATATTTTCAATCCATTCGGGTTCTCCGGCCACTGTATTTTATCTAAATCGGCAACATTTTGTATCCTATCCAATTCAGAACACAATATATTGAACACTAAATGAGTACCATCGACATCTGGTATTTCACTGCACGTACAAAACGAACATAATTTTATTAATTTCTGCACTTCCTCCGTAACGTTCACATCGAATTCTTGGCCTTTGACGTTAAAAATTAAAAAGTTAAACGTCAAAATGATGATGGCGCGCATTTTGAACCGCGCGCGCGAACACATCTATATTCGTCGTGTAATCGAGGTGAAATGATAAAATTCGTTATCAACTATTATCGCGGCATTGATGATGTGAATACGCTGAAAGTGACGCGGTAAAAATTAAACTACGAAATTGTGAGTATAATTAAATCGAAATTTACTAAAACACAAAACCAATAACCTATAATTCACTTGTATTGCAAGAAACTTATCGTATACCGTATCGAATACGTTCGAGTGAAAAAACAATTGAATCGAATTTTTAGGTTAGAATAAATATTTGATATCTAAATCGCACATCTTTATTGCTCTATTTCATTAGAGTCAAGGGCATTTAAATAACAGTTACAACAAAACTGTTAAACGTTTATCAAATTAACGTTATATAAGATAGAAACTAAAGAATACTAAGAGATAGGAACTATGACTAAGCGGTGATACAAACTCCTTGTACCTACGCCTTATACTTTATTAGTAAAACATCTCGTAGGTGCCGCGAAATTAATATAAACGTTATTTGGCAGTGCTTGTTTAGGCAATTGCCTAAATCTTATTTAATCGCATTTATGTTTTTTTTTACATTACTAAATATTTTTTTAAATAGAGAATCAGTATTGTGTATGATTTGTCTTTTTTAAATTATGGAGTTTTGAAATTTTTTACTTTTAAATTGATATCTACTAGTGCGTCTTGAAATGTTTTTTCCATATATGCGGGAGACAATAAAAAAAGATAGTGCACGTAGATACTAAGTACAGTCAGCAATAAAATGTTGATCAGACTATTTATAATACAAAGAATGAGTTAAAATCTTACTATTATAAATGCGAAAGTTTAGATGGATGGATGTTCGTTTGCAGCCTGAACGATTTCGATGAAATTTGGTACAGATGTAGAGGATAGTCAGGAAGAATACATATGCTACTCACTTTTGTTTTTTTTAATACCACGAGTTCGGACTCGCGAAAGGTAGTATTCTATAAATAAATATATTTATCCCGTCCATATAAATAACCATTCCTTTATCTATTTATATGATATAACATTTGTTTTCTATATATTCAAAGCAAACGAGTGAGATGGCAATAATAAATAAAATAAATTCATCATAACATAAATGTGGAGTTGACTGTACATACGATGAACGGGACTTTGCGCAACCGAAAGACCTGTGGAAGTTATCTCTATTGATTACACTTTACACATTAATTTTTTATCTGTCTATATCTGTTTCCTAAATTAAATTGTAAAAAAAAATCTGCTCTATCCTATACTAATATTATAAATGATATTCTGTATTTTTGAAATAACTCGAACCTACTGGGCCGATTTAAAAATCCTTCATCATTAAAAAGCCATGTTTTCGCTGAGTAACATTTTTTTTTATAATAAAAGGGGGAAAACGAGCGTCGAGAACACCGAGGAGGCTAGGCTATTATTAAATTCCACGCGTACGAAGTCACGAACAACATCTAGTATTTTACATTTAAAGACATTACTTACTCCATACATGAGGTTAGTACAAAATATGACTACTTTTGTTGTAAATAAGGAAACGTGTACTCAATTTGTAATTAAAAGAAAACTTCATGTTGTTACAAAAATATATTTGTTATCTAAACAGATTATAACAAAATAACAATATTATAATAACCAGGTAAACTTGATTATTGTGTTTGCATTTTGATCGTTTAGGTTTTCGCGATTTGTGACAGTTTTTATATTTTTTTTTACATTTTTTAAATAAAAGCAGTTGCAATATATTTACAGCTGACGGGTTAAGAAAATTCTTTAACAAATTAACAATTTCACTCCAATTCATTAAAGGATTTTCAATCGTAGCGTTTTGTTATTTAAGAAAGTAAAATAAATTAAAACCAGTAAACTTAGCTTTAAATAACATTTAAACTTATATGAAAACTTAGTTTTACTGCACTTTTTGAAACTGTCAGCTAATAAAATATTTAATAAATCAAATAATTTATACAAAAGATAACAAAAACAGAAATTTCTATGAAAAATCTTCAAAATATTTTTTAAACCAAACAAGATATAAATATTTTAAATAAGACTAGCTGTTCCTGTGCGGATTCTTCCGCATGAAATTATGTTTTTATTTTATTGTTTACATTTGTCAAATTATCAATAGCAAATGTCAAAATGACATAACATGACAAACCTTGGCAATCTTGCTTCCTTGATGTTGGCAGCAACTTATGGTCTCTTTCCCACATTAGGGTTTTTATCAAAAATATTTACCCCTTAAGTTTAATGGTGTGAAATATATAGCCTAAAGCGTGACGTAAGTGTAGGGCTTTTTAGTAAAAAGAAAATTATTAAAAAATATGCTGTAATTGCTGACATCTTAGGCAACAAAGAAGTGTGTGTTTACGCTTTATTATAATAGTATAGATGTAATGGAATGGATTCATTAAGTACATAATATATTTTCAAACACAACAAATGCTACTCAGCCTTACACTTTAGCTTACATCAAATACTTTGTTCATAGAATACTTATATTTATAAATTCATGTTTTAACTCGAAAATAAGAGAAAACTCAATATAACAAAGAAATATACTAAAATAATACATAACAACATATTTTTTTTATATACTTTTATGTGGGTTAAAACTGCAAACAATCATACTTCATACTAATATTACAAATGCGAAAGTTTAGATGGATGTTTGTTAGAGTTTGTAGCCTTAATGGCTGACCACATTACGATGAAATTTGGTATTGATGTAGAGAATAGTCTGGAAGAACACATAGGCTATTCATTTTTTTTTTAATTCCACGAGGACGGTGTCGCGGCCTAAAACTAGTAAACAATAAAAGTGATATTAAACAATACATATTACATACATTTATAATTTAAAGTATATTGATATTTTTAAGTAAATTTATTAAATTTTGTTATTTTTATTGAATTTGACTTTAGTAAGTATAATTGGTTACAGATTATCCCACCGTTCATTTATTGTGCGTTACTTTGTATGCGATAAATATATTTAAAACTAATTGCATTGTAATTAGATATGTAGTTATTGTCGAGTTCGTCCTTGTTGAGAATCACTTAGCTGAAAGGTTTTATTAGAGCGCGTCGTGTTCCCGCAGCAGGTAGTGTCCGATGAGACGCTTCTGTACGTCTGTCACGCCGCCGTAGATCTGAGTACCTCTTGCATCCCTAAAAAAATAATCCACAATTAAAAAAAAGAAAATGGAGAAAAACCGTTAAAACAAAAGAAAACACAAATTTAAATACAGACTAAAAAAAAAAAATTGCTTTTTATGGATTTACTTGATGTATAAATAGATCTTTATTTCGTAATCTGTTTGAACGGTTTTTTTTATGTTACGAACGAAATCAAATGTGTGAAATATTGGCTACTTTTGTTTTAAATATTTCAATTTCAAAAAAACTACTACAAAAGTACAGGTTAGCAAATTAAATTTTTAAATGCCTATTACACCTTCCTAATAAAGTATAATAAAAGGGGGGATGAGTCTCGCACATGGCGTTACTACCGCTAACTGTGCTGGAGGGATTATTTTCGTCACACCTAAGGCCCAATTTTAGTCCCTTTCTCCCCTTTTTTGAAAAAGGAAGAAAAGCAATTGTTCAACTGAACTTAAAAAGAAGATGAGATATTATTTTTAAGTTAAGTTGAACAGAGTTCTGTTGATTAAAAGTAGGCAACGTATCTACAAGCCGGTCTATGGGTAACGTTCGCTTCGCCATCTTAGCGAATTCAGGTGGCTTACCCGTTTGCCACCTTATGATGGTAAACCTGTAATGTAAGTAACTGGTAATAATTATAACACGACTTATATTATTATACCTTGTGAATATTGGAGAATTGTATTTAGTCGGATTATACATCTTGGACAACACGCACGTGTTTTATTTCGTACACCACAAACCCCACCTGTAATGTCTCTCGGCGTCGTGCGTGGTGGCGAGCCCGCGGCCGCCCAGTATCTGCACGCAGTGGTCTGCGGCGGCGGTGGCGTTCCTGCCCGCCACGTACTTCGCCATCGAGCTGTTCTTGGTGCTGACGTGCGTCGCCGCGCGGTACGTCAGCAGCCGCGCCGTCTCCGTCAGGATGCTCATCTCCGTCAGACGCTCCTGGGACACGGTATTATGTCGAAACAACTCAAAAACCAACATTTTATATCTATAGCAAAACGAGAGACATTAAAACACTTTATAGGTAACTTTGCTTTTGCCCGCTATCTCGACCGTTATTGAATACAATTAGTAAGACTAAGGGCCTGTCCCACCACTGGCTGATAGAGACTCAAATAGCTTAAAAATGACGTCACTGTCAGATAAGGTAGCAAAATAATAATAATAATAATAATTTATTTAATAATAATGATTCCGCAGCCGGTGGAGTTCTATTTTTTATATAATGTGTTTTTTTTTATTAAAATTATGTAATATATATTATATGTAAAAATAAGTAATTAAAGATATATGGGGATAATAAAATAATAAAACAATAATAATAAATTCCATATAAGATATTTCCATCACATATTTTACATGTTGGATTGCTATCAGAGAATTTACAATTTGGTGGGACAGGTCCTAAGTAGATCACTTCCCAGACTATGTTCCAAATCTGTGCTAAATGTCATCGAGATGAGTTATGCCTTTATGGAGATACTTAGTAAGAAATATCCATCCATCCAACTAAATAAATGCTAAACTTTAACATTTCTAATATTTGTACGATTATTATATCTAACGCTCCTTTTCCCTATATAAATTTTGTTTAATTAGGTAAGAATTCTTACCTGAACGGAAGGTAATCTGGTCAGCTTTTTACCAAAGGCTTCCCTTTCTTTGGCATAATTAATAGCTGTGTCTAAAGCCGCTTGTGCGATACCTGAAAATATGCATTTAATATTTAATTAACATTTCTGCCTTTACACCAAAATCTTCTTTTGTACAGTCAACTGCACAAATACGTACACTTTAAACTTTGGAAACTTAAATAGGTAGACATTTACAAAATTATGTATGCAGGTAAAAGCGTACGAACAGATTATTGAATAAATATTTTTAAAACGGTAAACTGAAATAGAATCTTTGTAATTGTGTACACTTTTAAGAAGCTGACTGTACAAAATAGATTCTATAAACTAACTTACCGACAGCATGAGCTGCGATACCTATCCTCGCCTGATCTAATTGTTCCATCGCAATCTTGAAGCCCTCGCCCACCTGCCCCACCATGTAGGCCTTCGGTATGCGCACCTCCTCGAATGTGACGTCACAAGCCGTCACCGCCCTGTCATAAACACTTTACTTCTGCCTTATAAGCCCTCTTCACATACTCGCTTTAATACATTTACTAGCAGAAGGCGAAAGGAAAGTCGAAGTGGCATTTTCTAACCCAAATGTCAGTCACACATAAAAATTACAATAAGAGAAACAAAGTTAAAGATTAACAGAATATTAACCACCAGTAAGCATTAATTATTATACCTGACGCTCATCAAAGGTTGCTTCTTTCCTCTGAATACACCTTCTGCTTCCGTCGGTACGAGGAAACCTGAATATATAACAACGAACAAAATTCTTAATTCAAAAGGATCTTAACAACATTATAAATGCCAAGGTTTTGATGAATGGATGTTTGTTTGTTTGTAGCTGAAACTGCTGAACGGTTCTTGATGAAATTTGGCATAAATATAGAGGAAAATCTGGAAGAATACATTAACTACCATTTTTGTTCATTTTTAAATTTCATACGGACAGAATCGCAGTCCAAAGCTCGTAACTAGAATAATTCAGTGTAATAGCACTTACACGCTAATCCTTTATGTCGGAGCGCAGGGTCTACGGTAGCGAATACTACGAGCGCAGACCCCTCGATAGCAGAAGACACCCAGCTCTTCTTGCCGTTCAGTATGACATGGTCTCCATCGAAGGTTGCCTTGGTCTTTATACTAGCTACGTCACTGCCCGCGTCTAAAAGTTATTAATTTTCGAGTATAAGAGAAAAACTACGAAACTGCTTTATTGTAGTAACCCAATGAAGCTTTGGTTATTGTCTATTGGCACGCTATGAGAGACAAAATTTGCCAATTTTATTGTTTCCTTCTTGTTTCTGTCCCGGCTCGAAGGACCAATTGTTTATTCGAAAATTACATTCTTTGGTACGCGCGAACATTTCCAATATTTAGAAAAAAGTAACATGTGATGAATATAAATTTCATTTAATGTTCCCATTCTCAACATACTAAATACGTGAATAATTTTGTAATTTAATTCAATAACCTCTGATGCCAAACATTGAGTATCATTTATCAATAAAAGTATAAACCATGACTTTATGCTGTCAGAATTGTCCTGATAAGAGTCATGTTAGAGATAAAATAGGTAAAAATATTCTCGGCAAAAAACAAAAACAACAATCAAATAAAAACAAGTTTAACAGTGGTAGAGCCCGCTTTAACATCTTCGCACCGGCCGGCTCGCCCCCACCAATACCATGACCACACAGAAGACAGGCGTGAAGTGGAAGTAATTCCGCGTTTCGTCTGATAAGTGTGGTGCTGGAGGCCTAATTTTAGTCCCTTTCCCTTTCCACCCTTTTCTTAAGAGGATAGGATGGAAAGGAAAAGTGGATTTGACGGTGGAGGAGATGCATAGGAAAGGGAAATGTCCTCTATGTGTTGCGTCTCCTCCGCCGTCCATTAAGGGTAGGCAACGTTTCTGCAATTCCGGATGTTTATGGGCTGCGGTCGCTTTCCATTTCGGTGGATTCAGGTGGCCGCTACCTCGTTAATTTAAAACTTACCAGGTTCACTGAGTGCAAAACACCCAATAGATCCCTTAGTAAAATCACAGAGAAAGATTTCCTTCTGTTGTGCTGTGCCTTTTTCGTTAACAAGGTTTGTATAGAGGAAGTTATGGAGGCTCATGATCATGCCAGTACTGGCACAGCCACGGGACAGTTCCTCCACAGCCACGGCCACTGATAGGTAGTCGAGCTCTCGACCTCCGTATGTTTCCTCTACTGCCATGCCCATAAAGCCCATGTCTGTGAGGCATTTGATCTGTAAGTGATAAGGTAAACTAGTTTAGTTCAATTTAAACTTGAGTTTTACTCCCTTTTAATACATAGTCAGAGTCTGACTATTGGTAATAAAAAATAGACGAAACATGTACATATGTTTAGATATAAAAGTAAACAACAAAAATATCTTTGATTTTAGATAGTTTTTAACTTTTCCATAATAAAAATAAATAAATCTTAATAATCAACTACACCTTTGATAACCGGTATTGTAAATTTCATCATTTACCACATCAATGAAATGTTTGCTCAGTTAACTAGAGTATGGAAATTCCAAGATATTTCGTAAATGCCTTTAAAATTATCTGTAGATTATCGAACAATCATAGTTTATAATTACACTGATATTATAAATGTGAAATTTTAGATGGATGGATGTTAGAGTTTGTAGCCTAAACGGCTAAACGGATTTCGATGAAATTTGGTATAGACACAGAGGAAAGTCTGGAAGAACACATAGGCTACTCATTTTCGTTTTTTTTAATACCACGCGGACGGAGTCGCGGGAGAAAGCTAGTAGTTTATAATTACAATCGGTTTTACCCTGTTTTAAATTACTTTAATTAAATTCCTAAAAAAATTTGAATTCTCAAATGTTGTGTGGCACCTCAACTATTACATAAGTTAAAACATGAAGTACGCATGGAAAAATGTACGAGATAAAACAATAAGCGTATGTTACAGTTGTAAAAGGACGCTGCCGCTGTTTTTATCAATACGGCCGCGAGATACGACGCTCGCTGATAAGCTAATACTAATTTCAATTGTACAAATGAATGACGAAATTAATTAAAGAAACATATGACAAAATTTTTATTATATTACATGCTTTAAACATAAAGGTAACCACATTATTATGTGCCTGAAAGATCATCTATCTATACTATTATAATAAACCGTAAACACACACTTCTTTGTTGCCTAAGATGTCAGCATTTACAGCATGTTTTTGAATAATTCCTTTTTTTATAAAAAAACCCTACACTTACGTCACGCTTTAGGCTATATATTTCCACGCCATTAAACTTAGGGAGTAAATTTTGGATAAAAACTCTAATGTGGGAAAGAGACCATAAGTTACTGCCAACATCAAGAAAGCAAAATTTGATACGGATAAAGCCGCACGGAAACAGCTAGTCATACATAAAGGTGATTAACAATTTTTTAATGGTTTAAAAATTAGTTCAGTAGTTTTGAAGCCTATTCAATACAAGCAATCAAATATTTCCACTTTATATTATTAATATACAAATACTACCAGTCCGTATCTTAAAATGTTCAGTCAAATTCATTATCATCAACTTGCCCTTATCCCTTATGGAGGGTCGACACAGTATGTGCTGATCTTCCATACATCTCTATCAGCCGTCATATCTGAATCCACTCCTTTCTTAAGCATATCCCCTTTCACACAATCCATTCATACTTTCTTTGGTCTTCCTCTTCCTTTGTAGCCATCCACATTGATTCTTAACACTCTATGGTTATATCCCCATTGTCTCATCATTGTTGTTATGTTCAGTCAAATTGCATAAACATTTTATATTCAAATATTTATGATCTTGATAAATAACTAAAGATTACATACAGTATTATGTAAAGGTTATCAGTAAGTTAAGAATAATACATATCATTGTATCCAACACTATCTCTCCATTCATAGATTAAAAAACAAACTGTATTTTTATATAACATCAGAACCCATCATGCATGGTAATCCCATTAAAATTACAATAATATGTGTCCAGTAGTTTAGGCATATGTCAACATACATTGGTTTCTATTCATAGTGCATTTCTTTTAAATACAATTTATAAGTCAGTTGTTTCTTAATATTATAAAAAGGAAAGATTTGATTTTTTTCACATGAGACGGGGCAAACGAGCGGCGGGAAAACAAAGGTGGTCAATAACGCCCATGGACATCCACAACACCAGAAGAACTACAGATGCATTGCCGGCCTTTGAGGAAATTGTAGGCTTGCTTCTTGAAGGACCCTAAGTCATATTGGTTTGGAAATACCACCGAGGACAGACCGTTCCACAATACTGCTGTGCGGGGCAGAAAGTTCTGCGAAAACCGCATGGTGTGATTTTGATATGTATTGAAATAACTCAACAAAAACTGGGACGGTTTCAGCATAATTGAAAAAAAACTATTTGCAACATTAAAAACCTATGTTTTCACTGAACAACATAATAATATATTTTTAGTGGAAATAACATTTTTTTTCACATAGATGACATCACAAGCAATAGCTAATTCTTTGTATCAAAGTTGATGTCAATGTAACTTTATCAGCTTATCAGAAACTCACCTGGTTAAAGGGGAACCTTCCTTCCAAATCCAGCTTCCTAGCATTTGGCTTCAGCTGTTCATCTGCAAATTGTCTTGCTATTTTTTGAATTTCCAGCTGCTGATCATTCAGTACACTTGTGAATGTCCTCACTCCTGTTATAGATGTCTTTGCACATTGTACCAATGTCACTGCAAATAATATATTACTGATCAACTTTCAAATAAAGATATTAAAAATAATGAATGTTTTAGTAATTAAACATACAAGGTTTTTATAAAATGGGGGTAGTTAATTAAATGTTGTCCTCACTAAAATTGATATTAGAAAATGTAATATTTTCCAATGTGAAAAATTTACATAAAAATGATAAAGCATTTTTATGAATATGAACCTTTGGAAAATGTGGTTTGGAAGAAAATTCTATGTAACATAGTGTTTTCCAAGCTTTTTTTCAGTGTGACCCCTGTAGCATATAAAATAACGATGTGCGACGAAAAATCGGCCACTGGTTGACTCTTAAGTCGTATAGATTGTGTAGCCTTTGTCCCACACTGTTAGTGACACGAGAGCAGCTTCTAACAACACTGGAGTACACACTTGTCGATATTTTAAAAGGTAAAACAACTTACAAGAACTTTTCGCAGATTTAAAGAGCGCACCGGCTACCATGATAACGCTGGCTTAGTGAATGTAGGCAACTGTCACACAACTCGAGTTAAAATGTATTGCAAAATGATATAATGACCGATACTGATAAATCCAAGGTTAAGCTTCTGGTCG